AGAGTTTGTTATGGTTTGGATGTGAAAGCTCATGTGTGACAATGTAGGAATGTTCAGAGGTGAAATGATTCGATTTTTAAGAGCTGTCGCCTAATTGTGGATTAACCAGTTGGGTTAGTAATTTGAATGTAGGCAGGAAGGGCATGACTGCAGGAAGCAGGTCACTGGGGGCCTGCCCTGGGGAGTAATAATATTCCTGGCTCCTTGCATTCAAGTTCTTTCTGCTTCCCTCCACCACACCCTTCTGCCTTGATGTTCTGCCTCACCTCAGGCCCAGAGCTATGAAATTGTCCAGCCATGGACTGAAACTCTGAAATGGTGAGCCAGAATAAAATTTTCCTCCTGAGTTATTCTTGTTGGGTATGTTGGTCACAGCAGTGCAAAGCTGACTATAACAGAGTTTGTTCCTCTGCTGCACTGATTGTGCAGTAACTGCTCTCCCAGCCTTTCATGGGAGAATAAGCACCTTCTTCCTGTGTGGAAGATCATGGGTGTTTCCTCTGATGCAGCTGAATGTAATACCTCAGTTCCAGTTCAACTAGGTTTCATTGTATGTGATTAAAAACAAAATATTTTTTTTCCTCAGACACAAGATTCATATTTATGTTTCTTAAAAATAGTTTATTAGCTACTTTCAGATAGCTTGTACACTAAAAAATGTTATTGTCTTATTCATTTACTGAGAAGCTACATTAAAATTTTCCATTGATTTCATGGATGAAATAAAATATATAATTTTGCCAGGGTGTTTATTTCACGCTGTGAGTCACTGAGAGCATTTATACTGCACATACATCAGGCATCTTTTATTATGTAAAATTTACTTCTCATGCTTATACAGTTACAAAGTTTATCTTTTTTTTTTTTTTTTTTATTATAGTGCTGAGAGTGGAACCTAGGGGCTTTGCGTATGTTAGAACAGTACTCTACCACAGAGGTACACCCACAACTCCACAACTCTCACCTGTTATTTGTTCTTTGATTAATTTTTTTTTAGATGTAGGAGGATACAATACCTTTATTTTATTTATATGGTGCTGAGGATTGAACCCAGGGCCTCCATGTGCAAGACAAGTGCTCTACTGCTAAGACATAGCCACAGCCCCTTGATTAATTTATTCTTAAACTAAGTGTTGTTTATCCTCATTTTGTGAATTTTCAAGTTTTCCTTCAGTTATTTATTCCTAAGTTCATCTCATTGTGTTTAGAGGAGATACTCTGGATATTTACTTTTATTTTTTGTTTTATCATTAACTACTTTTATATTCTATTTTGATATTCTATCATTTTAGTATTTTAACAACATAAATTTACATTACTTATGTCAAATGTATATTATAAAATCATATTACTTTTCATTATTCATATTTTTTAAACAGACTTGGGGCTGGGAGTGTATGTAGTTCAGTGAGAGAGTGCTTGCTTAGCATGTGTGAGGACACCCTAGGTTCAATCCCCAACACCATTAAAAAAAAAAAAAGTTCAATCTGGCCTTTCTGGCCTTTCCTAAACCTGGAAAGGATGAATGATGCCTCACCAAGGATCACAGAGAGTCACTGAAGCAGAGGAAAAAGGAAGGTTTACACTTAATTAGTTGCTTTCCATAAGAATTTGTTAATATGAAAATAATAGTTTGTTGGGGCTGGGGATGTGGCTCAAGCGGTAGCGCGCTCGCCTGGCATGCGTGCGGCCCGGGTTCGATCCTCAGCACCACATACAAACAAAGATGTTGTGTCCGCTGAGAATTGGAAAATAAATATTAAAAAATTCTCTCTCTCTCTCTCTCTCTCTCATTCTCTCTCTCACTCTTTCTTAAAAAGAAAATAAAAGAATAGTTTGCTAATATCTTTGTTTTTCTCAAAGGAATAATTATTTGCCAGTATTTTAGTTTTCCTCCTTTACTGTACACAAAAGCACAGAAGGAAAGCAGGGTCTCTGCTGGTTTTCTTATTCAAACAATGTAAGTGAAGGTCTCTGTGTCATTGAACTTATCAGTGTTGGTGTGAAGCAGGTGAATGACCTGCAGTAGGGGGCACAGGACTGAGACAGGTGGCTAAGAGCTGAGGCCAAACTTGAGCCTGCAAAGGAGTGACAATGGAGTTCTCCTTGGTGCCTCCTGGGCAGGTGCTGTCCTCTATAGGTGACCTTGTGCTACAGAACAGCTACAGAACAGCTGATCTAAGCTGCAGAGCACTGAAAAGTGGGAGATGCACAGCAGAGTTGGGAGTGTCTGTCCTTTCTGAGACTGTGACTCTTGTTGTCATGGGGCTGTTTTCTGGACAGTTTGGTTTTGGCACTATAGAGTTGCTGGTGTCAGACTGTCATCCATGTAAGTGAAAAAAACCTGTGAAGGTCAGACTTAGAGAAAGACTCATTTTGGGTATCTCCTAGAGAAAGTTCATAATTTGATGGTTTACATAAATCAGAACCTGAAATTGATTCCTGGTTAGTTTCTTGCTGGTGAAAATGAAGATCTTGAAGAAAGGAGCATTTCTACACAGTTTGGAAGAGACGGAGGGCAAGGTGAACTCCCAGAGTTCAATCCGTAAGTGTCCCTGCCTCATGGCCAGGGAATGAGCCAACTGGGGCTTCATTTCAGCAGTCAGTCTGGCTTCCAGCTTGGAATATGTTCAACCCAAATGCCAGTTTCCTTGTGAACTGGGTGAAGCAGTCTGTCTGAGTACAAATATTTGTTGTTATTCTCTTTATTGTTATAGAATATTACTGACATAATCTGCACATTTAATAATTTTTCCACACATTTAATAATTTTATTACAGTGGCATGTGCCTGTGGCCTCTTCAAGGGGGCTGAAGTAGAAGGATTGCTTGAGTCCAGTAGTTCAAGGCCAGCCTGGGCAATACAGGGAGACCCTATCTCAAAATAAATAATTAAAAAATAAGAATTCCCGACCCCTGCCAAACACCAAGCCCTCCTGTTCCAGTCTGGCTGGCCTGGACAGGTCTCTCCTACTCTGAGGCCAAGGATCTCTCCATTCAACACATATGTCTGGAATTCTTTGCGCACACTGTGACCCAGTATTCATACGCTCTGACTTGTATGGATCACAGGATCCTGTAGGAAGATGCCAGGAGACCTCAAAAGAAAGGAGAACAAGGAGCCAGCATCCTGAGCTAGGGAGTGAGGGCTGATTGGAAAAGGCCATGTGGGACCCTGGCCTCCTCAGACCCTGGCATCCTGTTCCATCCCTACTTGGAGACTTGGCATGGCACTGAGCCCCTTTCTGGGCAGCTCTGCCGGCAGCCCTGCATCTCCAAGGGAGCATGGTGTGTGAGGTCCCTGGACCTTAGTCTCAAATCCACCTCCCCCAAAATAAGGCTTAGGGGTATTTATGGGATAAAGAAGCAGGGTGGCAGGGCATGGTGGTGCACTTCTGTAATCTCAGCCTCAGGAGGTTGTGGCTGGAGGATAACAAGTTCAAAGCCAGCCTCAGCAACTTGAGGCCCTAGGTAACATACTGAGATCTTTCAAGATAAAAAATAAAAGGGGCTAGGGATGTGGCTCAGTGTTTATGTGCCCCTGAGTTCAAGCCCTGGTATCAAAACAAACAAAAAACCACCCAAATATGGTGGTCTGAGATATGAGGGAAAGATGATCAGAGGCAGGGAAAACTGAAGTAATCAGCAGTACTGGAATAAGGTCCGAGAGGCTGCTTTTACTAAAAGTACTTCACTTGGCTCTGTAGACACCTGCAGATGCCTGATGGCTAACTAAAAAACAGTTAAAAATGTGGCATCTCTGCCTCCGTTCTGATCTGTTTCCTTTGCTCAGTGCCATTTTCTCCTGTGGTCACAATGGATTCTAGGCAGGTCTGATGAATAAATATCCTATGAGAAGACTTGAACTACTCCCCAGCAACAGCAATTTCTTGTCCCAGACAAGGGCCCCTGACCAATCTTGAAATAATGATAAACCAGATTGTAGCTTGACAAGACTACACTTGATCATGCACACTTCTGGCCTCCTTAAACTCTATAAGCTGGGAGTTCATGCAAGTACCCCTGAAGACAGGGTTGAGGATGTAAGTCCCCTTGTCTTCCTGGTATAGCTACACTGATTAAAGTTCCTTTCCTGCCTTCACAACTGCATGTCTCTTGGATTGGAATCTTGGATGTGTGTCAGAACCAATAGTCCACCAAGACCCCTAGCACTGGGGCCTTTGCCTCAAAACTCTGGTAAAGTCACATATGCATAACCAAATTTTATGGCTTTTATATTGAACCCGGCATTTGAGTTGAACATATTCCAAGCTGGAAGCCAGACTGACTTCTGAAAATGTTGGCAACGGTATGCTCTGAGGTTCAAATTTTGGGCCCTGGACCTCAAAAAGTCACCCATCAGACAGCTTGGCAGGCCCAAGTGAAAGGTCATTGGTTTCAACAGGTTTGAAAGTGACAAAAGTAGCCTAAAAAACAATGCAGACAACTACCTTCATGACCAATATGACTGAGATGTTAGTTAATGTGACCCACAAAATTGGTGATGAAAGCATTAGCTAAAAGCAAATGAAGCTTGAGGATTTATCCCTGTTTCCCCTTGGTTCCATCTTTGTCCCCCTGAAGCTGACATTTTACTTTTGCGTGCGGTGGGGCAGTACTGGGGATTGAACCCAGGGGTACTTTACCAGTCAGCTGCGTCTCTAATCCTTGTTATATTTTGAGACAGGGTGTTGGCAAGTTGCCAAAGCTGGTCCCAAATTTCTGATCCTCTTGCCTCAGTCTCCTGAACCACTGGGATTATAGGCCTGAGTCACCATGCCTGGTATTTTAGTTTTGATCCTATGTGCTATTATTTTTTTCAGACTCATTCTGTATTTCTAAAACCTGTTATTGCTTTCCTAGTATCTATCAAAGAGAGTAGGAATTCCAATTACCTTAGAAGTGTCCTAACCTTTTACAAAGTTTTATAGGGGCACATGGAAAGAATGATCTGAAATACCCTTCTGGAGTAAACACACCTGACAATTTTAAAGAACATACCTTATAGGTGGCAGTTGGTTGAGAAGAGTTTCTGATCTCAGACTTGGCCAGCAAAGTTCACACTTCCTGCCAGAATCAAAGTGCCAGATGTGCAGGGTGAGGAAGGGATGGTTTAGGCCTCAACGCTGGCAACGGTCAAGATCAAACTTGAGGCTGACTGTATTATATACGCTGACGTCACTTTTAAGTGTCTGTGATTCTAAGTGATCCTAAAAGAGCATCACAGTTCCATGAATGGCCTTCATGCCTTAATGCCAAGCCCCTGACCCGGTGGAGAAAAGCTGGCTCTCCTTTCAGTTCTGGCCTTGCTCCCCTCTTGCTTTGCACAAGTGGGTCGCTCCAAGTGAAAACAGTCTGGAACTACTTGCCCACGCGGTGCCAGTCTTCTTTCTGGGATAGGAACAAATTCTTAAAATGCCAATACGTTAGGGCTGAGGTGTGGCTCAGTGGTGGAGCACCTGCTTAACGCGCTGAAGCTCAGGATTCCTTCCTCGCCCCTTCCTCAAGGTTGGGAAGGACTGGCCTTGACCGCTCGGAAGAAGGCCGGCAAGCGGGCTGGGTCACGGGAGGTTCGCCTACCACGTCACTTAGGCGAAGGGGCGTGACCTCAGTTATTGTCCAATCAGATGCGCCTCTTGGAGGGGCGGGGAGTCGCTACGCAACGTCGCCTGGGCTTTGGTCCTGGGCTTCTGTCGGCTCTTGGGAAGGGTCTTTCCGGCCGGTCGCCACCTTAGGTCCTTCTGCCAGCAGCTTCCGCCCTCTGTAACCTGGTGACCTGAGGCTCCGGGAGCCGTGGGAGGACGCCGGGCAGGACGCCCCGGAAGCCGGAAATGGTGAGTGTCGGGGCCGGGAGTCGGGAGTCCGGCTGGCGCTGTCGGAACCCCCAGGAAATGGAGGGCCTCCTGGCGCAAGCCCCGAGTTTGCCGCCAGGTCCACCGCTGGCCCCGCTCGGCCCTCGGTCCCCTATGGCCCGAGAATGGGGCTGGACTGGCATCTGGGACCCCAGCGACCTGTCCTGTCCCTGTGCGGCCCCTTAGCTTGATCAGGAGCCTTCTCTGGGCAGCTTCGCGACGGCAGAGTGTCGCGGGAGACTCCGACTCTGGGGGGGGGGGGTTCTTGCCGTGGAGGAGGTGGAGTGTGCAGGGCCGCAGTCCCTCCGTTCCCCCCAAGGGGGACCCTTTTGCCCGGAGTTTTCCAAAAGTAGGGGAGGTCTCAAATCTAGGACCCTAATCCCTCCCAAGTCTTCCTAGGGCTGGCAGTAAATCCCTAGATTTCCAGTACCCTTTCCAAGTTCCCAAATGGTAACTTCCCTCTCTCATTCAACTATTTGTCCTTTCTACACACGAAGTTTTAATTATAATTTTCCCATAGTACCATGGATGCCTGTATGTAAAGACTTTTTTTCTTTTTGTTGGTTTTGTTTTCTTTGTTTGTTTGTTAGTATTTTACCTGAAAGGAAAGCAAGAGAATAACCACTTGGATCTGTTGTCTCTCAGATGCATGCGCCCCTTCTTATAATCTTTACTGGACAGGAACATTCAAGGGAACTCCTTTGGATTGAGGTTCTTCTTTAGAAATCTTCCAGACTGATCTGCCTTTAAGTTCAGCTGTAGATCAACCCTGCCCTTCCTTGGCATTTCAACCTCTATTGATTTAATTACTACTGATACTTACAGAAAACTGAATATCTCTATTGATTTAACTACTGACATTTACAGAAAACTGAATACGTTTATGTATACAGTTTTGTATTCAGTTTTCTGTAAATGTCATTAGTAGTTAAATCAGTAGAGGTTGAAAGACAATACAAAATATTTCCTAGAGTCAAGAAAGACATGAATTTCAGAATAAACAAAAGAGTCCTAGCTTACATTACAATTTTTCTCCAATTATCAGAGCCTATTATATTCCATCTTTATTTTTTAGTTTTTTATATTAGGCATTGAGCCCAGCAGTGTTTTACCACCGAGCTACATTCCCAGCCTCTTTTTTTTTTTTTTTAATTTTTTAGTTGTAGTTGGACACAATATCTTTATTTTTTCTGTGGTGCTGAGGCTCGAACCCAGGGCTTCACACCGCGAGGCGAGCGCCCTTCCACTGAGCCACAACCCTAGCCCCCCAGCCTTTTAAAAAATAAATTTTAGGCTGGGGATGTGGCTCAAGCGGTAGCGCGCTCGCCTGGCATGCGTGCGGCCCAGATTCGATCCTCAGCACCACATACCAACAAAGATGTTGTGTCCTCCGAGAACTAAAAAAAATAAATAAATAAATATTAAAAAATTCTCTCTCTCTCTCTCTCTCTCATTCTCTCTTTAAAAAAAATAAATTAAAAAAAATTGTAACAGGGTCTCATTAAGTTGCTGAGGCCTTGAACTTATGATCCTTCTGCTTCAGCCTCCTTAGCCGCTGGAATTATAGGTGTGTACTACCACACCTGGCTTCATCTTTATTTTTATTTCTCTTATAGTGCCAGGGATCTAATCAAAGTCCTGTGAGTGCAGGAGCTCTACCATTGAGCTACATGCCCAGACTTTTTTATATATTTATCTTTTTGAGACAGTATTGCTAAGTTACCCAGCCTGACCTCAAACTTGTGTTCAAATATCATTAATTGTATACAAAATAATTTCCTACGTGAATGTTTTAGAGTGAACTGAAGCCTTCATTTTCTGAAAAACAACAACAAAAATCTGGATATTTGTAGGTTTTCTTGCTGAGTTGGCAAATGTACATTACAGTTTTCTTTCCATGAATACTAGGTTTGAGTGATTTTGCTGGATTCTTCAAACACTGGCTTTGTATCATTTAAAATATCAATGGAGGAAGAGAGATGTAGCTCAGAGTGTGTACCTTGCATGGGCAAGGCCCTGGGTTCCATCCCTAGCATCACACACATGAAAAAAATCATCGGTGACCTTCAGAACTATGAGTTAAATAAAACCTCTTTTCTTTATATAGTTAATTAGATTATCAGTGGTTGTTCAAAGCTACTTGTTGACTCAGAGGCAGAAGCCCAAGGCCAGTGACACTGAGTTAAGGCTACCTTTGAGCCTGCAGAGGGAAGTAATGGAAGATCAAACTGGTTCTTTCTGGGGATTGTCCCCTGGCAGGTGTCCTGCCTGCTCACACCCACCTAGGAAAGAGCTCTTTGTATTAAGTAAAGATGCAGAACACTGGAAAACTGGGCATCCACATGCATGATAGGTGACAGAGGCTCATTCTTGGGTCTGTATATAGACCCTTTTGAATTCTGTATCCAGAAATTTGTTGTACATAGAGTGTTAATTGTGCATACTGGGAAAATCAGTGAAGATCAGGGTTTCTATGTTTTGGAAAAACTGTTAATAAATTTGGGGATTTATTTGATTCAAACCCTAAACTGAATCCAACTGAGAGTTTCCTCACTTATGAGAACAGGCTTATGTGGGGTGGGAGGTATTTCCTTGCCATCTAGGAAGAGGACTCCATTCCTGTGGCTGCCCAGGTACCCTGCCCTCCATCTCCAGGGATTGACCTATGCTAGGAGTTATATTTAAATTATGAAAGGCCACCCCCAGACTTGGGAATGTTTTAACCCTCAGTATGTGGTTTTTCCTTATGAATGAATGGGAAACAGTTTACTTATCTGAACAGATTCAGTGTTGCATTTATTTGTTATTTTGATTCCTTCATGGGATATTGCTTTCTTTTAACATAGTTTCCTTAAACTTTGTAATTTTATTCCTTCTGTTATGTGTAAATTTTAGTTTCTTGTTTGAATCTGTAGATTAAGAGACATGTTAGTCAAGGAAATTCTGAAACAGCACAATTTTTGACACTTTTAGGCATGAGACACTCAGTGATGGGAGGATGTATTTTAAGTTCTCAGGTGAAGTTTTCTTTCTTTAGATCATTTTTTAGGGCTGAGGATATGGCTCAATGGTAGAGCACTTGCCTAGCATACTCAGGGCCCTGGATCTGATCTCCAGCAACACACACAAAATCGTTTTAGAAGCCAAAGTCAATAGAGTATTGAGTTGGGGGTATGGCTCAGTGGCAGAGAGCTTACTTAGCATGTGGGAAGCTCTGTTTTCTGCCCACCCCTCCGCACTGCAAAACAAAAAATTTTAAAAAAGAGAGAGAGTATTAAACAGTAACACAAAGCATTGTGTACATAAATTTATCTTAATTTACAGTAAATAATGCAGGGAGATTTATAAAACCCTCAAGAGGGAAGTCTGACTTGAGAAGACTCACTACCATATATCCTGTGCTCCTGCTCTAACTTTTCCAACAAAAACCCTTTTGGGAGCTGGGTTGTGGCTCAGTGGTAGAGCATTTGCCTGGGATGCGTGAGGCCCTGGGTTCGATTCTCAACACCACATAAAATAAATAAATAAAAAAAAATAAACAAAATAAAAGTATTGTGAACACTAAAAAATAAATATTTAAAAAAGCCCTTTTGTTAATTCCTTGTGCATATTCTCTGTTTTTTTAATGTAAAAATAAGCAGTTGGGAATGCATATTCTCCCTGTCTCTGTTCTTCATTGTATGAGTAGTCAGACTCTAGTGTTTTTTTTGTGTGTGGTTCTGGGGATCGAACTCAAGGCCTTGTGTATGCAAGGCAAGCACTCTACCAACTAAGCTGTATCTCCAGTTCTTGCTGTTGTTTTTTGGTTTGCTTGTTTTGCAGTACTGGAGATCCATCCCTGGGCCTTGCACACTCAGCTGCATCCTTAGCTCTTTTTAATTTGTGACAGGGTATGACCAAGTTGCCCAGAATGGCCTTGAACTTATGATCCTCTGGACTCAGCTTCTGGGTCTCAGCTTCCAGAGTAGCTGTGGTTACAGGTTTATGCTATTGCATCTGGCCAGACTCCAGTTTCTGATGTGTGATTGCTGAGACTAAAGCCTCTGTCTTTATTCTTCCCTTGCATCCATTCCTGGACCAACTTCCCAGAAAGCTTGGGGCTCCCTTCTCTGGCTTAGCCCCTGGAACTCCCATCCATCCCCAACCACAATTAAATTGCAGGCCAGGCTGCTGTTTTCCTCTCAAGCCATTACACACCCTGCTGTTCCCCAGAGACCTGAATTATTGCCTTACGACAATGTACCACTTTTGGGGGAGTTCACTTGAGCTGTGCTGCTCTGGGTGGAATAGCTGAGCCTTCTCAAACCTGGATGAAGCTAAGGTAGATTTTTTTTTTTTTTTTTTTTTTTTTTTTTTTTTTTGTGCTGGGGATGAAACACGGGGCTTCATACATGCTAGGCAAACCACTGAGCCATACCCCCTGCCTGATTTGGCAGTTTTGATAAGATATTGGCATTTAGAAGCAGGAATGTTGGGTGGGGGGCCCTCCTTAATTCTGTCTTGGGTGATGTCTTAGCCAGATTCTATCTGTATCTTCAGGATGAAAGCCAGGGTGGCCTTGGTATGGGTGGGAGTTGTGAGGGTGGAAATATTTCCTGGGCAAAAGGTAGACCCACCGGACTGAGGTTGTGACTCAGTGGTAGAGCGCTTGCCTAGCATGTGTGAGGCCCTGGATTTGATTCTCAGCACCATATATAAATGAATAAATAAAATGACAGTCCATTGACAACTACAAAAATATTTTTTTAAAAAAGGTGGGCCCATATGATGATCCTCCTCTCCACATAGAGCCTTTATTTAGAGAAAGAGAAGGGTGGGAAAACTACTAGATAGCAGGCCAAATTCAGTATCCTAACAGCAGGAGGTTCACAAGGCCTTTTAAGTATTTTTGCTGCTATAGTTCCTTGGGCTACTATCATAACAAGATCCCAACTCTTGGTTTTATAGGTGACAACACTCAAACACCCCTGGGGCACTGCAGAGAGATGTTAATTCAAGTTCAGGTTCAACATGAAGCCCTTAACCTTATAACCATTGCCATGAGGAAACCTAAAACCCTGGTGATGCCAGTGTGAGGCTGTGTGTGGGAAGAAATTCATGAATCTTAGGGAAGACAAGACAGTTCCTTTCTGTTGAGAGCCACAGCCAAAGCGGCCCCAGCAAACTTCCAGCTGCCAGCTGATGATTGGCTCCCAGCTCCCAATAACTTCTAGCTGCCAACTGATCGGCTCCTCTGCGGTGATGCTCATTGGGCTGTTTCCCTGCCCTTTCAGACCACTGAGTTGCTCATTGGGGGACTTTTTTGGCTCCGCCCATGGGACCCAGCCAATCGGTCTCAAGAGCAGGGGAAGCCGATGGTGGCAGTTGGGCTCTGAAGGTTTTCCTGAAGAGCTGTTTTGTTTGGTGTGTGTGGTTAATAAAGTTCGTTTCTTTTGACAAGTGGCTCCTGACTTGTGCCCAGCTTGACTGCGGCACCTTTCCCCTCTCCACAGAGTATCTGGAGACTCAAACCAGGAGCTAGGAGTTAGTGCTTAGTGGCAGAGCATGTGCTTAGGATGCATGGTGCCCAGAATTCATGCCCAGCATAGAAAATACAGCCAGCCAGGGAAGGAAGAGAGAGAGGGAACAAAAGAAAAACATGGAAACAGTTGTCCATACTGTGACTTAATTGGAAATCCAGAGTGTACTCCCAAGTATTTCCACAACTAAATAGATAAAATAGCACTGATTGCTTTTTTTTCTCTGCAAGGTAAGTTCTGAATTCATATCTGCTATATGCACTAATTGGCAATCCTTTATGTGGTTAATCTACACAAGACTCTAATTACATTATATCTCGGGATCCCATTAACTGTAAGCAAGGTTTACTCTAATCTTTGAAGAGTAATGGGTTATAAAATAGAGGAGAAACAGACATGTCTTCCCTTAAGATCTATGGTCTTGCCTAAATCCTCATGGTCATAGCAGCCATTGTTTTAAAATATCCCATGGTGAGTGGAAGCTCTAAATCAATGAGAAATAAAATAAAATTAGATCTTTGGCACTTACAAAGAACCTTACCAAAATCAGATCTCCTATACCTTCATTCTGTGGTTAACTTATTTAGCATGGTCTAATGTAAGTTGTGTACATCTCTGAAGGATTAAAGAGCATTATTCAAAATCTGTTTTGCCTTTAAACCTGGAAAGGATGAATGGCATCTCACAGTGGACAACCACATTAATCCCTATACCCAGTAACCACCATTACATAAATTCCTGATTGTGTGCAGCCAGCAACTTGTAAATATTCTGCTGTCACCGTGCTGGGTAGGTCTGTGCCCACTGTAGCAGCCTCTTAGCTGCAGTTTGCCTTTGTCTTTGGAGCAGTGTGGTCCACCTCAGGAACCTCGGCAGCCTTGTCATCACATGGTCTTTTCAGGAAAGATTTGAACTACACTGAACTTTCTCCAGGAACACAGGCTGACATTATGTTGAAGTCAGGAAGCCATCCTTTTCTGGGAACATCCATTTAGCATTCATTGAGAGCATACAAATATTGAGAAAAAAAAAAAAAAACTCAGAAAAAGTGGGCCATTGCCTCACACTTAATACCAGGGACCCTGATACCCCAGTTAATTCCTAAAAACAGGGCTACTCCCTCCCTGACAGTATGAATAGCCATTGACCCTGTCACCACCCACAACATTTTCTGGGTTTGGGATGTTATAGAGGCGATGTGTTCCTTGTTGACACATTTTACTTACTCCAGTTTACCTCTGATTTGCAAATTGACCACCCTACCACAAGGGCTTCAGCCTGTTAGAACTGCCAAACAACAGGCACTCCTGTTAGTGCCTAAGAAACAGACCACGTGATTAACAAGGCTTCAGCAAACTCCAAGCATTCCCTGTAGAATCTCTGGACCTCTCATCATGGCCATAAGTTGTCCATTGTCTTTATTTATTCATTTGGCACTGGGAATTGAATCAGGGCTGCTTTACCATTGAGCTACACCCCTAACTTTTTTGAGATAGGGTCTCACTAAGTTGCTGAGGGTCTTGTTAAATTGCTGAAGCTAGCCTTGAACTTGAGATCCTCCTGATTCAGCTTCCTGAGTTACTGGGATCATAGGCAAGTGCCACTGTGCTAGCTGTCCATCGTTTTCTAATGCAAAAAAGGCCCCTCATCCCCACACTGTAGACCATTAGAACTACAGTGTCTGGTCCTGAAAATAGAAGCTTTCCCAGGCTTTGAACAGGTGACACTACTCAGCTGCCTGTGATGTCTTGAGTCTTGAAAAAAAAAAAAAATCCCATAAGTTCAGCACAGCTACCTACCTGTCCTTGCTATAGGGTGGAGCCAAACCTTTGCCATCCAGTGTTTCCTGCCTGTAGGAGGAGGTGACCTCATCCTTCCCCAGTCTCTTGCCAGATGTCACCAATGCTGAAGGAGGTTCACCCTATTCTCAAATTTCTTGGTTCCCCAGGAGAGCTCCTTGGGATTAATTGAGTGGATACTGGTAGAGAGTTTGAAGGCTTTACAGATGACACTGCCAAATTCATATAGGATAGCTTCTCTCTCTCTCTCTCTCTCTCTCTCTCTCTCTCTCTCTCTCTCTCTTTCTCTCTCTCTCTTTCTTCGGACCCTTAAGATCAGGGGAGCCATCACAGCACCTCCAAAGAAAAAAGGTATTTCTGTCTCTTGTGTAGTTATTTTGTGCAGCCCAGTTCCCCTGGAGTAACCTCTGAGTGTTTTAGACATGTGCAACCTGGCAATTGGCATCCCTGGGTGGGCAAAAGGTCTGAGTGTTTAAGTCGCTGGGAAAGCGACAAGTGTGTGTTCATTAAAGGTAGAAAACCTCACCCTGGATGTGACTGGAGTGCTGGGCAGTATGGTAGGTAATAAGGAAGGAAGTAGAAAAAATTTTCTCATAAGGATTGATGGTCCTAAAATTTGTTTTTTTGTACAGCATCTCTCTTATTTCTCCAAGATTCTGGATTCTGCCATTAGAGAGCAATAAAACTTGTACTATGACCACAATTTAAACATAGAGATTGATTCTATGTGTTCTTGGTGCTAGGATTAGAATTCTGATCCCCACATTCACTTACCATAAATGTTTAGAAACCACAGAATTATATGTGAAATTCTTTTTTTCAAATATTTTTTAGTGTTGATGGACCTTTATTTTATTCATTTATTTATATTTGTTGCTGAGAATTGAACCCAGTGCCTCACACATGTGAGGCAAGCACTCTTCCACTTAGCCACAACCCCAGCCCCAGTGAAATTTTTTTTTTTTGTATTGAGTATTGAACCCCAAGGTGCTTAAACACTAGGCAGCATCCCCAGCCCCTTTTAGGTGTTTTTTTTTTTTTTTAATTTTTTTTTTAGCTGTAGATGGACACATAGTATCTTTGTTTATTAATTTATTTTTTATGTGGTGCTGAGGCTCGAACCCAGTGTCTCACATGTGCAAGGCAAGCATTCTACCACTGAGCTACAGCCCCAGCCCCCTTTTTATTTATTTACTTATTTTTTAATTTTTAAAATACCTTATTTTATTTATTTTTATGTGGTGCTGAGGATCGAACTCAGGGCCTCGTGCATCCATGCGGGCGTTCTACCGCTGAGTCACAACCTCTGCCCCCTTTTTAGTTTTTATTTGGAGACAGGGTCTTGCTAAGTTGCTGAGGCTGGCTTTGAATTTGCAATCTCCTGCCTCAGCCTCCCAAGCTGCTGGGATTACAGGTGTTTACCACCATGCATGATTTATGAATTAAATGAATATGAATTAAATATGAATTAAATGCAGACCTTCTTTACTATAGTTCACCTTTCCTCTGTAAACATGTCTGGGATGTTTCAGGACTCAGTGACCTTTGAGGATGTGGTCGTGAACTTCACTGTGGATGAATGGGCTATGTTGGATCATGCCCAGCGGGAACTCTACAGAGATGTTGTCGGGGAAATCTTTATGAGCTTGGCCTTTATAGGTAAGGAAGACAATTTTTCTTTACTTACTCAATTAAAGAGCAAGTGCTTCTTGCCCATCAGTGATGTTCATGATTTGAAACGTGGAAAGGAAATACTGTGGTAAATAAACTGGCATGGTTGCAACTCATCAGAAACTTAGAGTCTAATATAATATGTTTCCTTTTAAGTTGTAATAATTAATGATTCTGACATTTTCTCTAAGTTATAATAATTCATAATGGTTTTTTCTGGCTCTACTTTCTAGGGGAAAAATGGGACCAGAACATTGAAGATTGGTATAGAAATCAGGGGAGAAATTTAAGGTAATTTACAATGAAAGGAGAAAGAAGTCTTACCAAAGCATCTTAATATGTCCTAGAGGTTTTTTTTGTTGTTGTTGTTTGTTTTGTTTTGTTTTTGTTTTTTGGTCCCAGGGATTCAACTCAGGAGCACTCTACCACTGAGCCACATCCCCAGACCTATTTTATATTTTATTTAGAGACAGGGTTTCACTGAGTTGCTTAGTACCTCGTCATTGCTGAGGCTGGTTTTGAACTTGTGATTCTCCTGTCTCAGCCTCCCAAGCCGCTGGGATTACAGACATGTAACACCTAGCCCAGCTGTCATAGAGTTTTTTATGTAAGTAAATAAATAAGCCCCTCTCCAAATTTTATGTGTTCAGAAAAATTTCACCTATATATGTATTCAAGTGTGATGTTCGATGTTTGAAAAATAGGAACCATTTATTAGAGTCTGCAAATATCACTGAGTATTGCTGTTTTATTTAATAGATGAGATTAAGCCCTCTTGCAGACCATTCAATCTGTTCACTTTCAAATAATTTAGACAGGGCAGAAAACCCTCACTTTCTCTGATAACAATAAAAATGTCAATTTACATAATCCCAGTGGCTCAGGGGGCTGAGGCAGGAGGATCACAGGTTCAAAGCCAGCCTCAGCAACTTAGAAAGGCCCTAAGAAATTTAGTGAGACCCTGTCTCATTATAAAAAAAAGGTCTGGGCATGGCAGCAGGAAAGATGATGGAAGAGATAGACATCATTACCCTAGGTATATGTATGACTGTGCGTATGCTGCAATGCTACATCATGTACAACCAGAGAAATGAAAAGTGCTGTAATTGTGTACAATGAATCAAAATGCATTTTGTTGTCACATACCTAATTAAAATAAATAAATAAATAAATAATTTTTAAAAAAAGGTCTGGGGATGTGGCTCAGTGCTTAAGTGCCTCTGGGTTCAATTCCTGGACCAAAAAAAGGAAAAAAAAAAAAAAAAAAGAGTTGGGCATGTGTGGTGAGGCACTGGATTCTTTTTTTTTTTTTTTTTTAAATAACTTTATTTATTTATTTTTATGTGGTGCTGAGGATCAAACCCAGTGCCTCATACCTGGGACGCAAGCGCTCTGCCATTGAGCCACAATCTCAGCCCTGAGGCACTGGATTCTATTCTCTGCACCACATATAATAAACTTTTTTAAAAAGTAAGTTTAATACATATCAAAAATGTATAAAGGTAAATTGTTAGTAGTTAATACGTTCTTTTTTTTTTTTTAAACAGTAATCATATTATAGAGAGACTCAGAGAAAGTGAAGAAAATAGTCAATATGGAGAAATCTTCACCCAGATTCCAGATCATAATCTGAACAAGAAAATCCCAATTGGAGTAAAATTACATGAATGTAGTGTGTGTGGGATAGTCTTTATGCCTCGTGTATCCCTTAACAGTCCAATCGGATCCCACACTGGACAGGAATTGTTTGAATATCAGGACTATGAAGGAAAGCCAAATAAGTGTAAGCAGTGTGAGAAAGCCTCAAGTTACTATTGCTCTTTGCAAATTGATGACAGCAGTCATGTTGGAGAGAAACCTTATGAGTGTCAGGAGCAGGAGAAAACCTTCATTTCCCTCACTAGCCTTGGAGGATATGTGATAACACATGCCGGAGGTGGACCACATAAATGCAGCATGTGTGGAAAAGGCTTCCAGTATCCCAGTTCACTTAGAGTACATGAACGGACTCACACTGGAGAGAAGCCATATCAGTGTAAACAGTGTGGGAAAGCCTTCAGCTGCTTGGCTTCAGTTCGAAGACATCAAAGAACTCACACTGGAGAGAAACCCTATAAATGTAAAGAGTGTGGGAAGGCTTTTAGTTCACTCTCAGGCCTTCAAGGACACATGATAAGGCACACTGGAGGTGGACCTTATAAATGTAAGGAATGCGGAAAAGCCTTCAACTCTCCTAGTGCACTTAGAAAACATGAAAGAACTCACACTGGAGAGAAACCTTATCCATGTAAACATTGTGGCAAAGCCTTCATTTGTTCAACTTCAGTTCGAAAACATGAAAGGAGTCACACAGGAGAAAAACCCTATGAATGTAAGCAGTGTGGGAAAGCCTACATTTCTCTCTCAGGCCTTCAAGGACACATGATAAGACACACTGGAGTTGGTCCTTATAAATGTAAATTTTGTGGGAAAGCCTTTGGCTTTCCCAGTGCAGTTCTAAGGCATGAAAGTGCTCATGTTGTTTAGAGTTCTGTGACTAAAGAGTGGGGGGAAGCCTTCATTTCTTCTTCAGACATTTCAGGACAAATAATCACATACACTGGATGATACTATAAATTAAATGTAAGGTATTCAAGAAAACCTTTTCTGTCCTAGTTCACTTTCCTAGTACAGAAAGAAATTTGCACTGGAGAGAAACCCTGTGTATGTAATGAATGTGGGATAGCCTCAGACCTTCAAAAGCGTATTTGGAATGCATGCAAGGGCTTATATTGGAGAAGAATTCTTTGAATAAAAAGCAACGTAAAATCTTCAGTTTTCCCAGTTCCTTTGAAAACATGGCAAAAATTTATGGTGAAGTCTTTAGTTTTACTTTCTGATGTATGTAAGAGCTCATACTGGAGAGCAACCTTATGAAGGGAATAAATGTGGGAAAGCATATTTCTAACTGTCACACTTATGGAAGAGAGAAACCTGTGTGGAAAAACTTTTATTCATTGCACAAACTTCAGCATATGAGAGAATGCATAATGGTGAAATACCTTATGAATGCCAGGGTGTTAGAATCCCTCCATCCTTCCAGTTCAGTTCAAAGGCATATATAAGTGTTGTAGAAAAGCCTCCAATTGTCCCACATTCTGACTAAAATATGTAGGAATACAGAATGAATTCAAACTGTTCAAGGTAGTATTTCAGTGTGAATCCAAAGCTTGTCTGGTTCTTTGAAAACAAATTTTTTCCCCTTTAGGTTCTTTACACTGAGATAATATTATATTTAAAGATAATATTTCAATGTAATATTAAAGAAATATTCAAAAAATATATACAGTGAATTGAAATCCTAATTATTTTTTAAAATAACAAAAAAAATCAATTTAACAAATATTTTGAGTCCTGTGAAAATCCTATAAAGATAATATGGAAAGCTCAAGTGGAAGTTAGTTTTGTGTGTAATGCTGAAGAAAATTCCCAGCATTGAAGAAATATTGTAAAAATGGTAAAGGTATTTATTATTTTATCACTTTCCCACATTTATCATTAAAGTGGATCTGTGGACCATGGACTTCTACTCCTTTTGCAAATTAGCACAGGAGTGAGATCATTCTGTAAGTACCTGTAAATAATGAGTTTAACAGGTAATGTTTTTATTTTTAAGTCAGCTAATTTTTTTTTTTTCGCCATTTGGAACCATGCTGGTTCTGTGTATGAATCTGATATGTATTTCTTATTTGCAGGTTGTCTTCATTATTACACAGTTTAATTGTTCTGTGATTAATAGGCCACTGGAAAATGAGTTTAATTCTTGAAATTTTTCTACTGGTTTCTTTTACCTATTTTATATATTCCAGCTTTCTTATGGGAAATGCTAATTTTAAAAAATTGGGACAAAAACAGCTTTATTCAGTTTTCCTTATTAATAAATAGTTGTCATGAATCTATAAGTATGTGATGTTTTATTATATTCTTTTGTGAGTTTTCACTTTTTCCCCTATTGTGTTGGGTGTTATTTTCTGTAGACCTTGTACATGCTCTTCCACCGAGCTACACTCCCAGCTTGATCTTAGCAGTCTTGATCTTAGTATTTAAAACATGTTACACTCAAGTGTGAGCCTCTATGAATCAAGTGCAGGCTTCTTGGAAGAAGGGAGTTCTCACTTCTCACTCTGTCTCCCATATTTAAGGCACAGTCCTGGGTAGCTGGGAATGGAGAGAGAGTGAAGTTTGCACCTCTCAGGAGGAAAGCTCTCTCTGTGCAAACTTAAGGCAGAAAGAGTCTTGTGTTTTGGGCTGTAGAGTCTCCAACCTCCCTGAGCTGAGCCAAAGGAAGTGTGTGAGTAACCTTATTTCAAATATGGTGAACTTTCTCCTTTTTACCAAATTTACATAGATTTCCGTAATTGTTTCTCCTGTTGCTCTGTACCCTCAGAGCTTTCCTGGAGGCTTTTCATCTGGTGATTTTCTTTTTTACACTTATCACTTTCCTTTGGGACTAATCTACAGGTTCCTCACATACTACCAGATGACAAGCCCCAGGATTCTTTCTTAGTATATAAGTTTATGCATTTGTTTATTTAGAGAAACTGGAGATAAGTCTTTGTTTTAGCAGTGCCAGGGATGGAACCCAAGGCCTTGTGCATGCCAGGCAAATGTTTTACATGGAGCCACATCTTCATATTTATATGTGGTGCTAAGGATCCAACCCAGGGCCTCACACATGCCAGGCAACTGCTCTACCACTGAGCCACAACCCCAGCCCATCATTAAAATCTTAAATGAAACAAACTCAGTGTTTGAAGAATCCAGCAAAATCACTCAATCCAACTTTTATGTATAAGGAGGAGAGAAAACTATAAGGAATATTTACTAATTCCACAAGAAAACCCACAAGTTTCTGTTCTTTTCAGAAAATGAAGTATTGGGAGAAAGCTTGCCTCGCATGCAGGAGGCCCTGGGTTTGATCCTCGGCACCCACCCAAAACACACATAACAAGAAAATGCTGTCAATCAATTGTTACTTCCAAGGCAAGAAATTATTTTATAAACTCATATTTGAACACTTCAAGGTGTTAGAAGCTTAAGCCCTGGAATTCTTTTTGAAATCATCAAAAAAGAAAAAACAGACCCGAGAAACTTACTATATATGCTCCAAGAAGAAATAGGGAAACAAGAATTAAGACAAATGTAACACTGAAAATTTTTTCCCCCTGAAATTCATGTCTTTCTTGCCTCTTTGGAAATATATTGTATCACACTTTATTAATTATAAATATTTTGCATTTACTGGAAAAAATGAGACTCAAATGAGTACATAAATTTTTTTGGCTTTTCACTATGTTGTTTTAAAATTTAGGCTTCACTTATTTAATTACTTTTTACCCATTCCATCCATCATTTTTCCTTTTCATGATATTCACTTATACATATATTAAACTAATAAATAGTGCCCCAAAGCTTACTCAACTTTATATAATTTCATTAAATTCTTTTCCTATTAACTATTTTCAAGTTCACCAATGCCTTGTTTTTGTCTAAAATTTGTTGCTAAGCATATTCGTGAATGTTTTTAAACATTCTGATATTAATCTTTTTAAGGTGACAAATGCAGAGAGGGACAGTACTCAACTGGAACAATGCTGAAAGGCTAGATCACCCAAAAAGTTTGCAAAGAGGAACTTCAAAAAAACCCTAAAGAGATCCCACAAGATAACTTATATCCAGGAAAGATGCTGCTCAAGAGGAATCACGGCTTGGAGTCACTGGAGGAGACACACAAAGATTTTGTGCAACCAGTTCCAAGTGTTGTTCTTTCTCTTGTAAAAATTCTCAAACAAAAAGCAAATCTTTAAAAAAGAACCATCCAGGGCTGGGGTTGTAGCTCAGTGGAAGAGCGTTTGCCTAGTATGTGTGAGGCCCTGGGTTTGATCCTCCACACCACATAAAGATAGATAAATAAAATAAAAGTATCCATCTAAACTATGAAAAAAAACAAAAGAAAACAAACAAAACCATCCACTGCTCTGTGAGAAGAAATGATATTTAAAATAGTGCATTTGACCAGGCATGGTGGCACAGGCCTGTAATCCCAGCTTCTCAGGAGGTTGAGGCAGGATGATGGCAAGTGTCAGGGCAGCCTGGGCAAACTAACACCATGCTTGCCTAGCCATGCATGCCCTGGGTTCAATCCCCAGTACTGATGGGGAAAAACAGTGTCATAGGGGCTGGAGTTGTGGCTCAGTGGTGGAGCGCTTGCCTAGCGTGTGTGAGGCCCTGGGTTCGAGCCTCAGCACCATATAAATACAATAAAATAAAGGTCCATCTACAACTTAAAAAATTAAAACACACACAAAACAAATAAACAAAAAACAGTGCCATAGTTTGAAAATCAGCATAGATGACGAAATCAAATCAAAACATCTGATTGGCTTTTATTTGCAATTCTAAAACAGATTCTACAAATCTGAATGTGTGCTTCTTCGGTGAGCTGAGCAGAAGGAGTTTGGGCTTTAAAGGCAGAAAAGGGCCGAGAGAGAACAAAAGTCCCATTGTTCTGTTCAAAGTTACTTTCCACAGAAAGGTTAAAGCAAAAGGGGCTTTTTTTTTTTTTTTTTTTTTTAATCACCCAGCCTAACACTGGCCCATTTGGGGATCTGGCCATTGTCTGTCTCCTGATTTTCTTGGCAGATTGGACTTGCTGACATGGAACTTGTGTATGAGTAAATCCATCTGGTGTGGTCAGCTGGACCTAGTTCAGGAGCTCAGAACCCATCAGTGGTCTTTTTTTTCTAAAATATTTATTTTTTAGTTGTAGATGGACACAATACATTTATTTTATTTTTTTATTTTTATGTGGTGCTGAGGATCAAACCCCGGGCCTCATGTGCTAGGCAAGCACTCTACTGCTGAGCCACAACTCCAGCCCTAAACCAGTGGTCTTCTATAAACTCTATTTAATAGGACAAGTAATAATAATGTCTACTGGAGAGAGGATGGAACTTGGAACGTGGGTTGGAAACTGGAAGTCTGGGATCTGTAGCCAGCACTGGGGAGAGCGTGGTGGGGCTGAGGATTTGAGATCCTGCTCTGAGCTGGGGAGAGAGGCAGCTCCTCCCATGCACAACTCCCTTGAAGGAGTTGGCATCACAGTGACCCTCCATGGGTCACTACACAGTTGGGAGAAGAGGGGCTGCAGGCGGAGCTGCCCAGAGAGGATTCTATGCCAGGCCGATTCGCAGTTTTCCAAGGAATATATACAAATGACCAAGAGCAAATGAAAAATGCTGAGTATCTTCCAATACAAAGAAATCATATATGTCTGAAATGATAGATATGCCAGTTACCCTGACGTGATCATAACATTATATGCATTTACTGAAATGTCATACTGTACCCCATAAGTATGCACAATTACTATTTTATTTATTTTAAAAATAAAGATTTTTTTAAAAAGAAAGATTTTGGGGCCGGGCTGGGTGGCACACACCTATAATCCCAGCAACTCAGAAGGCTGAGATAGGAGGATGGTGAAAAAGCCAGCCTCAGCAAAGGTGAGGCACTAAGCAACTCAGTGAGACCTTGTCTCTCATAAAATACAAAATTGCACTGGGGATGTGGCTCAGTGGTTGAGTGCCCCTTAGTTCAATCCCCAGTGCCCCCTCCCAAAAAAAGAAAGATGTGCTAGGGGGTGTGGTTCAGTGGTCAAGTGCTTGCCTAGTATGCTCCAGTCCTTGGGTTCAATCCCCAGCACTGATGTTGAACATTATTATCCATGAAGGAAATGGAAATTAAAACCACAATGAAACGAAGGTCTAGCATGGTGGCACACTTTTACAAACCCTGCTACTTGGGAAGCTGAGGCAGGAGGACCTCAATTTGAGGTCAGACTGAGTAATTTAAAAGCCTGCTTCAAAATAAAAAAATACAAAAAGGGCTGAAGATGTAGCTCAGTGGTAGAGCACGCCTGGGTCCAATTTCCAGTACTGCCAAAAAAAAAAAAAAAAAGAAACAAAAAAATCCACAGTGAAGCCAGGTGTGGTAGCACACACTAGTAGTCCAGCTACTTTGGAGGCCAAGGTAGGAGGATCACTTGAGTTCAAGATCAGCCTGGGCAACATAGTGAGACTGTCTCAAAAAAAAAAAAAAAAATATATATATATATATATATATACCACTTCACAGTCACTAGGATGACTAGAATCAAAAAGATTCTGGGTTGGGGGTATAGCTCAGAGGTAAAGCACTTGTCTAACATGTGCAAGACCTTGAGTTCCATCTGTAGCACTGCCCCCTTCAAAAAAAGGGGGAGGGAATATGGTAACAAGTGATGCTGAAGATATGAAAAAAAATTAGAATCCTCATGCATTGCTTGTGGGAATCTAGTACAGTAGCCTTCTTAGAAAACTGTTAGTTTCTTGGAGATTAAACATAGAAGTACTAGGAGTCCCATTCATTCCACTCTAAAAGAAATGAAATTAAATGTCCATTAAAAAACTGTACATGAATGTTTATAGCAAACATTAATAATAGTTTAAAAGAATGAAACAACCAAATGTTATAAACAGACATGAATGGATAAGCAAATGAGTTATTTGGATACTAGAAAGTTCACTGAGGTTAACAAAATGAATAAATTTGAGCCCCAAATGAAAGGGCCTATAATCCCAGTTACTCAGAGGCTGAGTAACTGTTCCAGGCAACATGGAAAACTTAGTAGAGTGTAAATATTAATACATACTACAACACAAATGTCTCTGGAAATAATTATGACAAGTAATAAAGTTAATTACAAAGAACACATGTAATTTTATTCCAAGTACGGAAAACTATAGCAACAGAAAGTAAATTAATGCTCGCCTAGAGGCTTAGATAAAGAAGTGAAAAGATAGGAGATGGAGAGCTAAAGAGCATAGTGTTTCTTCTTTATTTCTTGTAGTTGTTGTTCTGGGGATGAAACCCAGGCACTTTAGTATTCTAGGCAAGCACTCTACTACTGAACTTCACCCCCCAGCCCCTAATTTTAAATTGATACATAATGATACACATTTATGGGTTACCATATGAAGGGATTTCTTTATTAGGTGTTGAAAATGTTCTAAAATGACGGTAATTAACGGAGCGTGGTGGCCTGTGCCTGGTAGTCTCAGCTACTGTGGAGAATGAAGCAGGGAACCTAGAGTTTGCTTGAGCCCAAGGAGTTCGAGGTCAACCTGGCCAACCCAGCGAGACTCTCTCAAAAAGCAGAATAGCCGCCGCGTGGCGTAAGAAACACGAAGATTACAAGTTCCAGGCCACCCTGGGCAATTTAGAGAGATCCTGTCACAAAAAAAAGTAAAAAGGGACTTTAGCTCAGCGGTGGGGCTCCCCAGGATTAAATCCCCAGTTTTTGTTTTTTTTAAAATCGACTGCACTAATGATTGTTTGTATATGTGAATATATTGAAAGCCACTGAATTCTACCCTATAATTAGATGTATTGTGTGAGTATGCATTATATAAAACTGTTCAAATAAATAAGTAAACGCCTTAGGAGTTTCGATCCAACTTAAGGTTTATTCACTGGTTTCTCTAATGGCAGAAAAAACGGGAATTAATCGCCTCATGAATATCACACCCATTTCCATTCCAAAGTTCTCTAGGTGCACAAATTGATGGCTATCCATCCAGTGCAAAATGTACAGTTCATAGTTTTAATGAACATATCTCATAGCTTGTGTCTTATCTAGAGAAAGTTTCTCCTCCCAGGCTAGGGCTTCGGGTTTTACCACTTAGTACCAGTACCAAGTGTTTGGGGGAAGGCTCAACCCTGTCAATTGTCAAAGACCAAATGGAGCCAGATTCTTTGTTGGATATGGCGAGGTTACTTTAAGTGTTTGTGTTTGTAAACAAGCGTTATAAGTCCACAAGAGGCCTCAAAGTCTTAGGTCAAGCCTAAGACATCTGACCCTTCAGTTTCTACCTTGCAAGACCTGAACAAAAGGCCTCGCTTTCTTTAGAAACTAAACCCGTGATTCCCTGCACACACTTCTGTCTCCGCGTTCAGCAGGAGCTGTAGGAAGCCACCAACACCAAACCCAAGGAGCAGTACGACTTGTGCTTAAAGCCAAAACCCCCTAACAGGTACCGGTTCCCGGCCCGGGTAACACCCCGGCCGCTCGGTGAGCGTCTTTCCGCCCCGCTGTCACAAAGGGGGCGTGTCCGTGAGAACCGTCCAATCAGGAACGCCGCCGGAAAGGTGTGGGCGGGAGCCGCGGCGCGCACGGCAAGGGGACGCTACGCGCTGGGGCCGCTCTCCACCTTGGGTCTCCTCGCCGCTGGAGGGCCTCAGGTGGCACTAACACCTGCGCGGGCCGCCTGAGCCATAGGGAGGACGCCGGGACACCCGGAAGCCGGGAAATGGTGAGCTGGGACCAGGCCTCCAGGGGCGGGGAGGGGCTGAAGGAGCCGGCCGGAAGCGGCCGGGGCGGGACCCGGGCCTCCTCGCCTGGCTCTGGAGTCTGTGGTCCAGTCCGCCGGCGCCGCTCGGCCCTGGCTCCCTTACCGTCCGCCGTAGCTCCGACAGGCAGCTGGGACCCTGGTCTCCTGTCCTGCCTCTGCGCGGCGACTTGGGCCTGGCCCAGAGCCTATCCGGGCAGCTCCGCCGCACGTCTCCCCAGTCTGCGGCGACCGCGGCTGGGTCACGGGGAGACCCTCACTCGCGCGTTGGATCCGTGCGCGGGAGGAGCTGCGGTCTACCCAGGCCCGGGTTTCGCTTTCCTCCCCAAGGGCGACCCATTTTCCCGAGCTTTCTAAATATCTGAGAAACGGGGGTCGCAAATCCACAGTTCTGTGCCCGGGTCCAGCCCTTCCTAGAGCTGACAGTAAATTCCTAATTTCTAGATAGGTTTTCGCATGCCCAGATGCCACCTTCCCTTCTCCAGTTGACAGCATCACTCATTAAAAGCATCTTCGGTGGTGCATTTCAATTAAACGCAGTATTTTAATTACCATTTTTCCACGTATGAATTAACAGTTCTTTTTTTCAAAAAATTCAGTTGTTTGTGGATAATCTTATGAGAGGGAAGCTCAGAATAGTCGCCTGAAGCTAGGTTGTCTGATATCTTTGTGCCTCTTAGTCACTTTCCCAGGCACATACATCCTAGGGGAACTCTCTTGGATAGAAGTTCCTATTTGCAAACTTTCCTGGGAAGTCTGACCTTTTAGCACAGCTCCAGGTCATCACTGTCCCTCAGTTTGTCACCCTGAAAAGATTTAAGTACTCATTTGATTTTCATTTTCTTTCAGAAATATAAAATATGTGTCATGAAGAGATCTTGGGGGAAGATGTGAAATATTTCCAAAAGTTGAAGTCCAGTTTTTCTAGCACTACTTGTTGAAATGACTATCTTTTGTTGTTGTCATTCTAGGTTTTTTTTTTTTTTTTTTTTTGTGTGTGTGTGTGTGTGGTAATGCAGATGGAACTCAGAGCTATGTTTATTTTTTATACCTTGGTCTTTTTTTTTTCCAACCCCACCCCTATACCTTGGTCTTTTAACTTATGCTGGAATTAGAAATATACATACCACCACTATAGTGTTAGAATATTTTAGATATGACTGCAGTAGGACTCCCTACCCACAGCTTTGCTTTTCATAGTTTCAGTTACATGTGATTAACTATGGTCTGATTAAATGGAAATTTTCAGTAATATAAACAACTCACAATTTAAAATTCGCACCTTTCTGAATAGTATGCTAATATCTCATACTATCTTGTGTCTTACCTGAGATCAAGGACAAAAGGACCCTTTTGTCCTGCATATCCCTGTTCTATGATACCTGCCTGCTAGTCGCTTAGTAATAATCTCATCATCATAAAAAGGATGAGTACAATGCAGTAAGGTATTTTGAGAGAGAGAAAGAGAAATTCATATAACATATATTTTATAGTATTATTATTATATTTTGTAGTACTGGGGGTTGAACCCAGGACTTGGGAGTGCTAGGCAAGTGTATTATCTCTGAGTTATATGCCTAACCCTTTTAATTTTTTATTCTGAGCCAAGGTCCCACTAAGTTACCCAGGCTGCCTTGAACTTGCAATCCTCCTGCCTTAGCCTTCTGACCAGCTAGAATTACAGGCCTGTACCACCATGTCCAGTTTATGACAGCATTGTTATGATTGTTCTACTTTATTATTGTTGTTATTGTTCATTTGTGGTACTCCGGATGGAATGCAAGGCCTTGTGCATGCTAAGCAAGTGCTCTACCACTGAGCCACATCCCTGGCCCGGATGTTACTGTTAATTTTTTACTGTGCCTGTTGTAATCTCTTACTGTTCCTTTATCATAGGTACGTGTGGATAAGGGAAAACAGTACTTATGCTACTGCCAGCCAGCTCAGGGAACCCATCTGAATCTCAGTCACTTGCATGCGTAAGAAACAAGCAAATGATGTAAACAGGAAAAATGAATTTAATCAAACTGGGAAGCAGCTAGATTGTTTTTCTGCAAGTCCTATAGAAGAAGAACTATTTAAAGAAACAAAACCAGGCACCTGATATATGTAGGCTTAGTCAGGCTGTGCTAGCCAGGGAACATGTCAGTTCTAGCTTCCTTGGTGCCCAGCTGGGCCAGGGGGTGGTTTTTCAGCATGAGGATGTTTGAGAGCTAAAATAGTTTGGAATATTTAATTTCACAGGATCTCTGTTTCATATATAGGGTTCAGTACCATTTGAGGTTTCAGGAATCCATTGGGATTCTTGGAATGTATGCATCCTTTTTTTTTTCTCATCACTGAATTTTATACCTTCCTGCATTCATGTTGCCATTGAGCATTGTTTTGTTTCAACTTGAAGTCTTCCCATGAGTACTTCTCCAAAGGCAAGTCTAGTGGTCAGGGGCTCCCTCAGCTTGTTTACCTGGGAACTTTAGCTCTTAGTTTCTAAAGATTGGCCTTGCTTGAGTAATGTCTTCCTGAGCAGTTATTTTCTTCCAACACTCTGAATATGTTGTCCTGTTGTCTGTTGGCCTGCAAGGCTTTTGTGAAGAAATCTGCCCATAGTCATGTAGATGCCAGCGATGATTTTGAGGAGAGGGAACCCTAATACATTGTTAGTAGGAATGTAAATGGGTACAGCCATTATGGGTAACAGTATAGTGGATTATAAAAACAAAGAGGGCTGGGGATGTGGCTCAAGTGGTAGCACGCTGGCTCGCCTGGCATGTGCAGGGCGCTGGGTTTGATCCTCAGCACCACATAAAAATAAAATAAAGATGTAGTATCCACTGAAAACTAAAAAATAAATATTAAAAAAATTCTCTCTCTGTCTCTTAAAAAAAAATTAAAGGGGTGGGGATGTGGCTCAAGTGGTAGCGCGCTCGCCTAGCATGCGTGAGGCTCTGGGTTCGATTCTCAGCACTACCTAAAACTAAAAAATTTTTATTAAAAAGAATTACCATATTCTTCAGTTGTCCAACTTGTACATATTTATCTAAAAGAATTACAATCAGAATCTCAAAGAGATACCCACACTTCCATGTGTATTGCAGCCTCATTCATAATAGTCAAGATATGTAAACAATCTAAATATCCATCAGTGAGCGAATGGGTAGAGTAAGTGCAATATTTACATGCAATGGAATATTAAAATAGAGCAATCCTGCCGTGTGCCACACTAAGAATAGACTTGGGGGATGTTACAGTCAGAAAAACAAATACTATGAGATCTCATGTATATGTAATAATCTAAAATATTTGAATTCTTGGAAGCAGAGAGTAGAATGATCATTTGCAGGGGAGTGGGGAAATGAGCAGGTGATATTCAAGGGAACATTTAAGTTATGCAGATAAATTGTGGAGGTCTGTACAACATGGTGCCTTTACTAGCAATACTGTATTTTTCAGTTAAAACTTTTCAAGTAGATCTTGCGTTCTTTTTTCTTATTTATTTATTTATTTACTGTGTTAACACAAACAAGAATGTATACATGAACAAATAGTAGTAATAATGAGAGTGGGGATAGTAATGAGGTTGTTGATGGCTATGCCTGTGGCCTTATGGGGTGATGGTTGAGCTGGTGTATACTCATCCCCAAACTCATGGGGTTGTTTACATTAAATGTTTACAACCTCAGTAAAGTGCTTTTTAAAATATGTATTCGTAAGTGGACCCTGAGCAGGCATTAGTCTCTTCATGTTCACTGGTTCATCCTGATTCTTTGATTAGTCTTTATACCTTTATCATCTTTTCTTATCTGTTACACAGTCTTCTTTTACTTTAGCTTCATCTGAACTTTCTGCAAATGAGCATTAATGAAGTTATAGTGAATAGGTTTTTGAGTGGTTTCTTTGCCTCTGAATGTTTCACACATGATGGAACATGGGATATTTTCTGTCCAGTATTTATTGTGTTTGGGCTTTCTCGGGTTGATTTTTTGCTCTAATAAAGATGGGGGGGTGGGGCTGGGGTTGTGGCTCAGCCATAGAGCACTTGCCTAGCGTGTATGAGGCCCTGGGTTTGATCCTCAGCATCACATAAAAATAAAAAAATAAAATAAAGGTATTATGTCCAACTACAATTATTTAAAAAAAAATACTGATCGGGCTGGGGTTGTGGCTCTGGGGTTGTAGCTAGGTAGAGAGCTCACTTCGCATGTGCGAAGCCCTGGGTTCAATCTTCAGCACCACATAAAAATAAATAAATAAAGATATTGTGCCCAACTACAAATAAAAAATAAATATATATATAAAAAGAATTCTGGGCTGGGGATGTGGCTCAGGTGGTAGCGCGCTCGCCTGGCATGCGTGCGGCCCGGGTTCGATCCTCAGCACCACATACCAACAAAGATGTTGTGTCAGCCGAGAACTAGAAAATAAATATTAAAAATTCTCTCTCTCTCTCTCTCCCCCCTCTCTCTCTCTCTTTAAAAAAAAATTTAAAAAAAATGAATTCTGATCCTGGGCTAGGGTTGTGGCTCAGTGGTACAGCGCTTGCCTAGCATGTATAAGGCACTGGGTTCGATTCTCAGCACCACATACAAAAAAGTAAAATAAAGGTTCATTGACAACTAAAAAAATATTTTTAAAAATACCAATCCTATCATTTTGCTATCCATCACTAAGTAAATACAGTAAATCCTTTGCACATTGGAGAAAAATCATTGGATTGTAGGTCATGCTCATGTATAAATTTACAGGAAATAGCAATGGAGTGTATCACTTGACTCTTCTGCCATTCAGTCATAATCTAACTTATAAGAACTTCCTGCCATTTCATTTAGCTGTTTCCTCCTCATCAAAATCTTATATGGTGTATGTGTATGAGATGGCACACACCTGTAATCCCAGCTACTTGGGAGACTGAGGCAGCAGGAAGATTGCAAATTTGAGACAAACCTTGGAAACTTAGACCCTGTCTCAAAATTTAAAAATGGCTGGGCATGTACTTCAGTGGTAGAGTACTTGCCTAGCATGCTCAAGTGCCGCAGTCTGGCTGGGCACAATTCAGGAGCCACTTGTCAAAAGAAACAAACTTTATTTTTAGAACACACACGCAAAACCACACAGCTCTTCAGGAAAACCTTCAGAGCCCAACTGCCACCACTGGCTTCCCACAAGCCTCTCAACCTCCCCCACTCCTCCTGCTCTTGAGGTGGATTGGCTGGGTCGCATGGGTGGAGCCAAAAAAAGTCCCCCAATGAGCAGCTCCATGGTCTGAAAGGGCGGGGAAACAACCCAATGAGCATCACTGCAGAGGAGCCAATCAGTTGGCAGCTAGAAGTTTGCTGGGGCTGCTGTGAGCCAATCATCAGCTGGCAGCTGGAAGTTTGCTGGGGCCCCTTCGGCTGTGGATCTCAACACTCAAGCCCCTGGGTTCAATCTCCAGAACTCATGAGGCCATGGAGATGGGGGGATTACTTTGGGATTACAGGCTTATGTGCTTATTTTTATTTTGCACACTAATATTGTATATATCAGAGATAATTATATTCTACTTTGGTTTGTCTTTTAACTTTTTTCATTTTAATATATTTGAATGTCTTGGTCTTATCCTTTATAGCTTACTATTATATGAGAAAATTCTTCCTGTTCTTGCATCAAAATAAATTAGGGGCCTTGGGTTGTAGCTCAGTGGTAGAGTATGTACTTAGCGTTCAGGAAGTCCTGGGTCTCATCTTCAGCACTATACACGAAAAATTTGCCTGTGACTTCTGAAAGTGTTTTTATGTTTTTCACATTTAAACCTACATCAAATTGGTTATTATCTGTGGAATAGAGGTGGTACAATGCATTTTTTCAATTAGGTAACAGTTGTTCATTCCCCACATATTAAAGTATCAGTGAGCCCTTGAATTTCTCTGCAGTGTTTTCTTCTGTCATTAATCAACTTTACATGTAAATACAAGCCCTTTGAAGACTTTTTCCATTCCCTTGATCTGTTTGTTTATCTCTTACTATGTCATCCTGTTCAGAATATTGTAACTCGAAAAATCCTTGACATGTTAGATGAGCCTCACTTTGTTCTGCAGATGACTTTACCCACTGTTTGACACTTGTTCCTTGGAGGTTCACAGAAGTAGTTCTGTACTCCTAAACAAATTCCATTTGTTATGGAATTTTTTGAGATGCCTTGTGGGAGAAATGACACTTTTTTCCCTTTGTGGTTGAACTGGGGATTGAACCCAGGATCCTCTTCATGCTTGGCAAGTGTTCTACAGTTGGTGCTCCCAAGCCCTTTTTTGAAATTTTGAAACAGGCTTGCCGAGTTTCCCAGGCAGGTTTCAAACCTATGATCCTCCTGCCTTAGCCTACTGAGTATCTGGGATTATAGGTGTGCACTACTGTGCCATGAGAAGTGACATCTGGTTTATTCTAAAAATGATGAAGTCTTTATACTGATTTCTCTGCATAGACATTAACCAATATTTCTTACTTTTTTTTATGTTTTGGTTCTGGGGATTGAACCCAGCTATACCCTTAGACCCAATAAAAATTTCGTCCGTTAGGATTGTTAACTTTCTTTAGTCTTTTCTAGTAGTTGTGTGTGTTCTGGAGGAAAGCAGCTGCAGGTTTCCAATGTTCCCTCCTAATGTAATGACACAGAATGGGCTCAGATCTCCAAGCAGTAACTTGTGACAACATCTGCAATATCATCTACCAGGGAAGCTCATTAGAGTAAGTGCTCACGGTGCTTTCTGGGGGCTCATCAAGTAGCTCTCTGCCGAGGATGTAAAAGGGACCAGATTATCAGGAGGAAAACAGAAAATTCAGAATACCAAGCCACTCTTTCAACTTTTTATTTATGGTGCTGGGAATTGAACTCAGGACCCTTGCACATGCTAGGTAAGCACTGTATCACTGAACTATACCCCTAGCTCTTGTGTACATTTTTTTATTATTATTACCGGGGGATTCATCCCCAGTCCTTTTTATGTTTTTTATTTTGAGATAGGGTCTTGCTAAATTGCTGAGGCTGGCCTTGAACTTTTCATTCCTCCTGACTCAGTCTCCTGAGTTGCTGGGATTATAGGCATTTGCCACCACACCATGTAGGTTTTGTTTTGATGTTCCTTCCCCCACCCCAAGTCACTCTTATAACTAAAATTGGGTCCCTCTGAAATGATCTCTTTGCAAATAGGAGTAAAGGGCAAATTTCTTAAGCAGGCATTGCTAACAGTAAGCATCTCAGACCTACTACTGTTAAAACCTTTCTGATCACTAATTAGTAAGACCTTCTTTGAGAAAGTCATATAATGATTCTTTCTACAAGGAGTAATTAGGGCAGACCCAAGCAGCTCATTTTCCATACACCAATCAGCAAGAGGGATGTTGATTTCTGCTGTAAACTCTCATATCAGAGTTTCTGTTTGGGAGTATTTTCCTCTGTCCCCTGCACATGGATATCAGTAGGTTAGTACTCTGTTTTAGAGATCAGCATTTGGTCTCTCTTTTAGAGATCAGCTAGAAACTGATGAGCAGCAGCCCTGAGGCTCATTATATGACTGAGAGATTCCTGTGCTCACTTGGGTTCTCAGGTATACCTCATGAGAGCTGAAATGAGTGACATGGCAATCAGCCTCTAGAGTAACATAGGGAATCACTTCCTCCTGAGGTTGGAGAAAGGGGAATTCATTTCTTCTGGAGGATAGCACTGCTGAATCTTTTGTATAGTTTGTAATCATGGGTAAATTTATCCTGTTAGTCAGCTTTCTGTTATCTGAGACATTATAATAAAGATTTATTTTGGTTCAGTTTTAGCCCATGTTTGCTTGGCCCTGTTACTTTGGGCCTGTGGTGGCACAGCACATCATAGCAGGAATGTGTGGGAGAGAGGCCTGTTCACCTGGGAAGTAATAATAAAACAGGAGGGGACAGGGTCCCAATATCCATTTTTGGGACACCCCCAATGATCTAATTTCCTTCCAGTAGGCCCCACCTCCTAAAGGTTCCACCACCTCCCAGTAGTGCCACAGGCTGGGGACCAGGTCTTCAACACATGGGCCTTTAGAGGACACTGAAGAACCAAATCATCATTCACTCTCCAACCATTGTGGACATCAGCAGACTTCCTTCAAATTGCAACTCTTAACCCAACTCTGATCCTGAAGGTCAGCATTGCGTAGGGTATACTGTTAAGGTTCTTAGGGGAAGAATTGCTATAGTACCTTATCACCTTTGTTTTATGTGTGCTAGAAACTGAACAGCAGCCCTGAAGCTCATGAACACAGGGATTCTGTGGAGGTCTAAGTTGTCATGCCTTCCTCCTTATGCCTGTTGTCTTCCTTCCCTGCATCAAATTGGACTTGGAAAAAAAAAGAAGAGCTGAGTCTGTGGTACATATCACACAATGAATTCTTCTCTGAAGGAATATTTTCTTTCAGCCAATGGGATTTGACTACTTCTTAAGAAACTGCAGGGGCTGGGGTTGTGGCTCAGTGGTGGCGTGCTTGCCTGGCATGCATGAGGCACTGGGTTTGATTCTCAGCACCTCATACAAATAAATAAAAAAAGAAGGTCTATCAACAACTAAAAAATATTAAAAAAAAAAAAGAAAACTGCAGAACTTCAGGAACATGACCATCTGGATATTGTTACAAATGGAAGGTACTACCAGCCTTTTGTTATCATATATGCAATTATGGGAATAGAAGAAAAAGTGTACAATATTTAAGTATGTATTTATATATTAAAACCTCATACAGCTGAGTGTGATAGCACATACCTGTAATCCCAGCTATTCAGGAGACTAAGGCAGGAGGATCGCAAGTTCAAGGCCAGTCTTGGCAACTTGATGAGACCTTGTCTCAAAATAAAATCAAAAGGATTGGGGGAATAGCTCAATGGTAGAGCACTTGACTAGCATGCACAAAGTGAGCAATTGCTAGTCTTATAATGGAAATATTTGTTTAATTTATTTAGAATTTATCCAAGATGTTATATATTCTTTTGTTGCAAAGCAATAAAACAGTGTGACCACAGTAAAATGTAGAAACAATTTCCATATATTTGTAGTGCTGTTAAATTTACAAGCAAGCGATTGTTGACAGAAATTCAGAGTTTTGATGACCAAGTTATAGAATGAATGTCTGGAGACCAAAGACTTGTGAACTTTTTAGTGGATTGAGTGTAGGTCCCCTATGCTGTAAGTCTTATCCATCCTTCTTTACACATACGTATGTGTAATGTTTTAGGACTCAGTGGCCTTTGAGGATGTGGCTGTGAACTTCACCCAGGAGGAGTGGGCTTTGCTGGATCCCTTTCAGAAGAAACTCTACAGAGATGTGATGCAGGAAACCTTCATTAACTTGGCATCTATAGGTAAGAACAAAATCATTCCCACACTTAGTCTTAGAGAACAAGTATTTCTTGTTCCTCAACCAGATTTTAAGACTTTGATTTTAGAAAGGGAATACTTTGGTGAGTAAATGTGGCCAGTCATCGTGGACCTAGAATCTAATAATTTTTGTATAATTTCTAATAATTTGCAGTGATTTTTCTGGGTTTGCTTTGTAGGGGAAAATTGGGAAGACCAGAACACTGAAGATAAATACAAAAGCCAGGGGAGAAATCTTAGGTGAGTTGTACCTAGGAAAAAAGTAGTATTCCATGGGGGAATATTAGCATGTGATGAAATTTTAAGAAATAAGTAAACAAAACAAATAAACTCAATTATGTATTTATGGCTTTTAGAAATATTTCACTGAGATTTTTTAAAAAATGGCATAAATATTCAGTATTTGTTTACCTAAAACTATTAATAAATTCAACATTATGAATATCACTGGTTTCTTCTTTTTCTTTTCTTTCTTTTCTTTTTTTTTTGGTCCTGGTGGTTGAGCTCATGGCCTCACACACAGTAGGCAAGCAGTCTACCTTTGAGTAGCCCTTTATTTTATTTAATTTTATTTTGAGACAGTGTCTTGCTAGGTTGCTCAGATTAGTCTTGAATTTGTAATCACCCTGACTCAGCCTCCCAAACTGCAGGATTACAGGCATGTGCCACTGTGCCTGTTTAATATCACTGTTTTGGTTATAGCTCTAGTTACTCTTCCAGAGCATTCATTACTTACATTGAAGATACCAAACGTGCAATTCTGCTACCTATTGTGAAATCTTTAATCATCATTAATAAAAAAATACCACTGATAATGCATGTCTTGTTTTCTACAGAGGTTGTACTGTAGAGAGACTCTGTGAAAGAAAAGAAGGTCAATTTGGGGAAACCATCCGTCAGACTCCAAATCTTAAACGGAACAAGAAAACTATTCCTGGAGTAAAACCACATGAGTGCAGTGTGTGTGGAAAAGTCTACATGTGTCATTCATCTCTTAACAGGCACATGAAATGTCACACAGAACGCAAACCATATGAGAACCACAAATATGGAGAGAAGTCCTATGAATGTAAGGAATGTGGGAAAACATTCAATTTTCGGAGTTCATTTCGAATACATGAAAGGACTCACACTGGAGAGAAACCCTATAAATGCAAGCAATGTGGGAAAGCTTTCTGTTGGCCCAGTTCCTTTCAGATACATGAAAGGACTCACACTGGAGAGAAACCCTATGAATGTAAGGAGTGTGGCAAAGCCTTCATTTATCACACAACATATCGAGGACACATGAGAATGCACACAGGAGAGAAACCTTATCAGTGTAAAGAATGTGGGAAAACCTTCAGTCATCCCAGTTCATTTCGAAACCATGAAAGAACTCACTCTGGAGAGAAACCTTATGTATGTGAACAATGTGGAAAAGCCTTCAGATACTACCAAACTTTTCAAATACATGAAAGGACTCACACTGGAGAAAAGCCCTATCAGTGTAAGCAATGTGGGAAAGCTCTCAGTTGTCCCACTTCATTTCGAAGTCATGAAAGGATTCACACTGGAGAAAAACCCTACAAATGTAGAAAATGTGGCAAAGCCTTCAGTTTTCCTAGTTCCTTTCGAAAACATGAAAGAATTCATACTGGAGAGAAACCTTATGATTGTAAGCAGTGTGGGAAAGCGTTCATTTCTCTTCCAAGCTTTCGAAGACATATGATAATGCACACTGGGAATGGGCCTTATAAATGTAAGGAATGTGGGAAAGCCTTTGATTGTCCCAGTTCATTTCAAATTCATGAAAGAACTCACACTGGAGAGAAACCCTATGAGTGTAAACAGTGTGGGAAAGCCTTCAGTTGTTCCAGTTCCTTTCGAATGCATGAAAGGACTCACACTGGGGAAAAACCCCATGAATGTAAACAATGTGGTAAGGCCTTCAGTTGTTCAAGTTCTGTTCGAATACATGAAAGGACTCACACTGGAGAGAAGCCCTATGAGTGTAAACAGTGTGGAAAAGCCTTTAGTTGTTCCAGTTCATTTAGAATGCATGAAAGAATTCACACTGGAGAGAAGCCCTATGAGTGTAAACAGTGTGGTAAGGCCTTCAGTTTTTCCAGTTCATTTCGAATGCATGAAAGGACACACACCGGAGAGAAGCCTTATGAATGTAAGCAATGTGGGAAAGCCTTCAGTTGTTCCAGTTCATTTCGAATGCATGAAAGGACTCACACTGGGGAAAAACCCTATGAATGTAAGCATTGTGGGAAAGCCTTCAGTTGTTCAAGTTCCATTCGAATACATGAAAGGACTCACACTGGGGAAAAACCCTATGAATGTAAACAATGTGGCAAAGCCTTCAGTTGTTCTAGTTCTGTTCGAATGCATGAAAGAACTCACACTGGAAAGAAACCCTATGAATGTCAACAGTGTCATAAGGCCTTCAGTTGTTCCCGATCCTTTCGGATCCATGAAAGAACTCACACTGGAGAGAAACCCTATGAATGTCAACAGTGTGGTAAAGCATTTAAGTGTTCCCGTTCCTTTCGAATACATGGAAGAACTCACAATGGACAGTAACTAATTGTAGACAGCATGGTAAAGCTTTCAGTTGTCTTTGAAGATATGAAAGGACTTTTGCTGTAGAGAAACCCTGTGAATATAAAATGAAAGAAAACTTTCAGTTCTCTGGGTGTGAATACCAGAAGGAGCTCTTACTGGAGAGAAACTCTATGACCACAAGCAATATGGGAAAAAGCCTTCAGTGATCAGCTTTTTGAGGATACGCAAGAATGCATTCTGGAGGAATATTCATAAATGTCAAGAATATGTAAAAGCCTTCAGTTGTCCCGGTTTATTTAGAAATCATACACAAACACACTGGAGAGCAGTTTATCGAATGCAAACAATGTGGGAAAGATTTCAGTTGGCCACGTTCTAACATAATATATGAGAAGGCACACTGGAGAGGAATTGTATAAAAGTGAAAAGCAATGGAAAGGTTTTTATTGTCAAATATTCATGTAATATTCCCTCTATGTGAATCTTCAAACTCATGTAAAGACTCCTACTGGAGAGAGGTCCTTTAAGTGTACATAATACAAATTAATTCATGTCTATCATTCCGGAACATTTACAACATGAAAGAAATGTTATAAAACATGCAAGTTTATTTTTCAGTTTATATTAAAGTATCCCTGGACTATGGATTTCTATTTATTACTTTCACACATGAACATCAGGTGAGATAATTCTATAAGCCCTTGTTAAGCAACTGTACATGCGTTTAATAGGTAGTGTTTTATCATTGAATCAGTTACTATAATTTTCTTTTTTGAAGTCTGCTGAATTCATGGGTGAACCAAAGTGTATTTCCAATATGAAAATTTTTAATATTTTTTTTGTTCTGTGAATAATAGATCATTGAAAAATGACAATTCAGAAATCATTGGGATTTTCCTACTGGCCTTGGGTGGCAGAGACTAGATGTCTCTTACTCATATACTTTTAATTATTTTTTCTGATTTAGATAGGCTTGTTTGAAGGGGGAGCAGAGGAGACTTACTTTATTTTCTATGCTAATAGTGGCCATAAATTTATGAATATGCAAAGTTTATCTTATGGGATAATCTCATTTAAATTATTTTCACCTTTTGCTGTTAGTCATTCCTTTGGGCTGTGATTTAGATGATGGATTTTGCATTAAGAAGAGACTTGTGGTAGCACAATATAATCTTAGTTGGAAATGGCTTTCCTGAATTGTGTTAACACAGATAACTGTGTGGCCTGTCTTCTACAATCCATCTCTTCCAGTTCCATGCTAGAATTCATCAATAATATATTTGTTTGAGATATAGAGAGCAGAATTGATGAAGGGTTTTTGAGTTTTATAACCATTAATATGGAACTAGATGGATGAATAGGGCTTCAGGGATACCTGCTTCTACCTCATTTTCCTGATGCTTTGCCATGCTGATCATGAGTACAGTTGTGTGTCGAATAATAGTGTTTCAGTCAATAACAGGCTGCATATGTGGTGGTCTCTTAAGATTACAATAGACCTGAAAAATTTCCTATTGCTTAGTGGCATCATATCCATTGTGATGTCATAGTGCAATACTGCTCTACCAGTAATGTAAAAATATAGCACTTGCAATTAGTTTTAGACATAATACTTATAGTAATAATAGACAACTGTGTTACTGGTTTATGTATTCTCTATCCTGTAGTTTTTATCATTTTAGGTTGCATTCTTATTTTTAAAAAAGTGTACTGTAAAAACAGCCCTAGACAGGTCCCTTAGGAGGCAGTTCAGGAGAAGGCATTGTTACCATCTGTGGGCAGCTCCGTGTGTGGTGTTGCCCCCTAAAATCTTCCAGGGGACAGAGGTGGAAGTGGAAGACTTCATAAGTCTTCCCAGGATTGTTAATGGTCCTGCACTAGACTAATGAGTGTGTTTGTGTCCTAGTTTTTAACAAAAAAGTTAAAAATCAGAAAAAATAAAAATAAAAATAAATCTCATAGGGTAAGAACATAAAGAAGATATTTTTGTACAGCTATGCAATGTGTTTGTGTTTTTCTTTTTTTTTTTTTCCATTTTCAGATGGGTAACATGCTGATGTTGTCACAAGGTTGGAGGGAGGCACCTCTCAACACATCTGTGTGGAAACCCAAGCCTGTGCTTGTAAATCATAAAAAGGATTTTGTGTTTTAAGCTAAGTGTTATTATAAAAGAGTCAAAATGCAAAAAAGATTGCAGGGGGCTGTGTGTGTAGTGCAATGTTAGAGTACTTGCCTAGCAAGTATGAGGCCCTGGGTTTGATTCATAGCACTGAAAAAAAGTTATTTTTAAGTTTATAAAGTAAAAATGGTGCAGTAAACTGAGGATAATATATTATTGAATAAATAAATTTTTAAGAAAAATTAGTATAGCCTAACTGTGCACATAATGTTTATAAAATCTACAGTAGTGTACAGGAAGTCCTAAGACTTTACATCCATCCACCACTCAATGACTCACCCACAGCAACTTCCACTCCTTCAGCCTCCTTTTATGATAAGTGCCCTATATAGGTGTACCACTGTTTATCTTTTATATGGTATTTTTACTGTACCTTTTCTATGTTTAGAAACACAAATACCATGTGTTATAATTGCCTATAATATTGAATATAGATACATGTTGTATAGGTTTATAGCTTAGGAGCAATAGGCTGTGCCATATAGTCTAGATGTACAGTAGGCTACACCATCAAGGTTTGTGAAGTAAGTATATTTTATGTCTGTACAAAGACGAATCTGCTTGATAATGCATTTCTAGAACATCTTGTTCCTTAAACAGTATATGCCTGTATTCTCAAAGTTAGCATTAATTGCTTGATTGTCATCTTTATAGAGGTGTAGTGTATAGATACCTCCCAAGTTCCACTCAGCATCCATTGCTGTTTAGATTTTCCTGCAAACTCTAATGTGTGCATAATTTGGACTCGCAAGATTGGGAGTGTTCCCTGATGTTTTGACTTACCTCATCTCTAGACTGAATTCATCTAGGGTCTTACATTATGTAGTAAACACCTGTTGTATTAATGTTGCCAGTGACTGTATGTAGTTAAAGTGGTGCATTCAGAAAGGACTCTTATGGACTTGGGCTTTTGTTAGTAAATGAAGTGAGACTTTTCTCTATATTGGATACTGTGCATTGAATTTAGTTGCATCACTGGTTATCATAATAGTTCTTATCTAGAAAGAAGGAAGAATGAAGTTGAGATAATCTACATGGGTCAAGTATGGTGGAGTATACCTGTAATCCCAGATACTGGGGAGGCTGAGGCAGGAGGATCCCAAGTTCAGGGCCAGCCTCAGCAATTTAGTGAGACCCTAGCTCAATTTTAAAAAAGGGGGGTGGGGTGGGGCTGGGGAGATAGTAGTAAAGCATCCCTGGGGTTAGTTCCCAGCATTGCAACAGCAACAATTGAACTACATGGGTAGTTTTTTTCCTTTATTGCATTGGACAGTGAATGCATTGACTGATCCTTAGTTTTAAGAATGAGCATCTTCCTCATAGCAAGCGGTTTGTCTATTTCCTGTCACTGTTGAACATAATCTTAGTATGTTTTCAATTACTTAGTATGTTTTCAATTACATTTCACTGTATGTGATAAAGTGTGCATGTTTTTGTCAAATAGACTCTTCTGTAGATGTTTTCTAGAATATTTTAGAAATTTTTCAAATAATTTGTATACTATCAATTGTCTTTTTCATTTCCTGTAAGGATATATTAAAATACTCCATTACAGTTATGGGCTTTCAGATTGTTTGTAAATTTGTCAAGTTAACCATTGGCTATTCTGAATTAATATTAACTCGTACATACAAGATCAAGTATTGTAAGGGAATTTTTATTTTTATTAAGATAGTTCATTTTTTAAAAAACAAAACAGATTTCTCCATTCATTCTGAATAAGCTAAAACTCAAATCATCATTTGTCAATGCCCTCTTGCCAGAGACTTCCAGGATCTCTGGTGCTCAGTGTTTAGACTACCCCTAGGTCAATCCCCAGAGCTGCTGAAAAGAAAACTACATGGAACCAGGCATGGTGGCATGAGAGTATAAATGAGGTATCTATATTTTGAACTCAAGGTTAGAGGAGTATTCCCTGATGTTCTGACTCCCCTTATCTCTAGATCGAATTCTTTTAGGGTATTGTAGTGAAATAGAGGAGTGTTATGAGTTGAAATAAGAATGACCACAAACCATTAGCAGCTATGGGGAGAATCAGTAAAAAGGTATTGAAAAAGATTTTTGGACTTGCGCTTTTGTTAGTCTATGAAGTGAGACTTTTCTCTATATTGGATGCTGTGCACTGAATTTATTTATATCACTGGTTATCATAATAGTTCTTATCTAGAAAGAAGGAAGAATAGAGTTAAGCTAACCTCATTTCCAAGTAACTCCAGTTCTATTGGTCAGTAGGGGACAATTTTGGTCAATTTTGTGGCTTTGGTGCTGCTGTCCCCTCCACTCCTTTTTAAAGAGTTAAATGTTTTTTCAGTGCTGGGAAATCAAAACCAGGGCCTGGTGCTTGCTAGGCAAGTGATCTGCCACAGAGCTACATCCCCAGCCCTAACATTCCCCTCTCCATTTTTAAAAAAGAACTTCTTATCATGTTGCACAGGTTGGTCTTGAACTCCTTGGCTCAGGAGAAATGTAAACATATGTGCACAGAAAAACCATGTACCTGAATGGTGTTGGCAACATTATTCACAATATCCAAAAGGTAGAAACAAAGCAAATGTACATTAATGGATGAATAAGTAAAAACAACATGCTACATGTAAACAATGGAAGAATCAGAAACAAATGAGGATGTGTTGATACCTGCTACAATGTAGATATTCCTTGAAAACACTGTTAGGTGAATAAAGTCAATCCCAAAGATCCCAGATTGTCTAATCCTATTCATATTCATATTAAAATTATTCATATTAAAGTCCAGAATAGGAACTATATCCAAACAGAATAGATGAGTAGTTGTCTAGGGTTTGAAGGAAAGTGAAGGGATAACTAATGACTACCGGGTTTGGTTTTTGTTGTCATGGCCGATGGTAATGTTCTAAACTTGCAAAATTGCAAGTATAAGTGAATATACTAAAAAATCTGAATAGTGCACATTAAAGGAGTGTATTTATGTATGATATCTCAAAAAACAGGTTCCAATAAAAGACACATTAGGAGTTTTACCCAATTTTTAAGCACATTGAGTTTCAATGTACATCCAAAGTTTACATAGCTTTTTATTTTTTCTTATATCAGTGAAATAGGTATTCAGTTTGCCTTAGGGATAGCATACATTTACATTTCAAAGTTCACTAGGAGCACCTTCAAAAATTATCAATAAGAAATTGCCTTCCAAGGTTGGGACTACAGCTTAGTGGTAAAGTGCTTGCTTTAAATGCGTGAGACCCTGGGTTTAAAAAAAAAAAAGTTTTGTAGTGTAAATTGCATGCTTAAGACTTATATATATATATATAGAGAGAGAGAGAGAGAGAATTTCTTAATATTTTTTTTTTTTTTTAGTTTTCGGCGGACACAACATCTTAGTTCCTTGTATGTGGTGCTGAGGATCGAACCTGGGCCCCTATGCATGCCAGGCGAGTGCGCTACCGCTTGAGCCACACCCCCAGCCCCACATGCCTCAGACTTTGTAACCAGAACACACAGCTTGCTGTTGATGGAAAAGAGTCACTGCACCCAGTCTAGGGCTGTGATGTTCTACATCCCCTGCCCTTCTATTGTATTTTGAGACAAGGTCTTCCTAATTTGCCCGGACTGGCTTCCAACCTGCAATCCTGCGTCAACCTCCGGAGTCGCTGGGAGGACAGGTGTGCCATCGCACCTATCTGGCTTGATAATTCTCTTTGAAATGTCTGTGTTCGTTTTAAACAGAAGAGCTCTAAAAGGCCTCAGGGACTCATGCCAAGCCTCAGACCCTCGTAGCACACTGGAGCCCGCTATTCCAGTCTGGGCTGATCTGGGCGCCCGTCTTACACTGGCGTCCTCCCCTGGGAAAAAGGAGTCCAATTCTCTGCGCACCGGGCGTCCCGGTCCGCGGGAGCTGGGGGAAGGGCCAGCGGGGGCCTAGCGCGGGGGCCTGGCGCCGGGAACGAGTTCTGACTGAGCCGACAGCGGCTGGCCGGGTCCAGCTCGGGCCCACCGCGGGAAGCCCACTCCGCCAGCTACGTGGCGTCCCCCGTCGCTGTCACTCATTCAGAAGAGGGAGGGTCTCGGCCAATCAGGCACGTCGCAGGAGAGGCCCGCGGAGGGACGCCAGGGGAAGTAGGTGGGCGTCCTTCCACCTTCCGGTTGCCCTTGAGGACCCAGAGCGGTGCTCGTGGTCAGTTTGCCTGTGGCCTGCGCCCGAGCTGTGGGGAGGACGTGGGGACACCCTAGAGGCCGAGAAATGGTGAGCGCGGCGCGGGGGCGGCTGTGGGCGCGCGGGACCCGGTCGGGCCGGCCTCCCGCGGCAGCTCCGCAGTCTGTGGCCGGGGCCACCGCTGGCCGCTCCGCCCTCCGTCCCCGCGGGCCCGCGGGGGGGGGGGGCTGGGCTGGGCGGGCAGCCGCGACCCCGGAGCCCCGTCGCGTCCCTCCTTGGCGACCTGGCCCGGCGCGGAGCCCTCTCTGGGCAGCTCCCCGGCTCTCAGCCTGTGCGGTCCCTGCGGGGAGGGTCGCGGGGACCCCGGTTGCGCGTGGGGCGAGGGTCCCGAGGCCCCGGCCCTCCATTCTCCTCAACGGAAAGGGACGCACCGTCCTGCTCGCCGCCTCGCCCTTCCTAGGCCGAGGATCCCTAAACTTGGCGATCCTTCCCGGTGTTCGCACACCCAGCCCCTCCCCGGGTCCCACCGTTATCCACCCTCGGACGGCCTTTTCTCAGAGTCCAGTGCGCGCGGGTTTTTGGTTTTGTTTGTTTGCAGTGTTGGGGACGGAGCCCGGGGCCTCGCGCATGCCCGCAAGCGCTCCACCCCGAGCTGTGGTAGCCCCAGTTTGTGGACTTTTCTCTTGAGAGTTAAGCAGAGAATAACCACCCGGCTGTAAGGTGAAGGTGGAAAATGTCCTGTGCCCCTCCTCTTCCCTCCCAAGCAGGATGTCTCTCCTTTTCCGTGGTTTTTACTGGTGCATCATAGTTGCACGGAGTGACGGGATTTGTTGTTGGATATTATACGTGCACCCAGTTTAACCTGAAGCAGGCTGACTTCGAATTGAGGTCACTCTAGGAAACGTTACAGTGATGTGGCCCAGCTCACCCTCCTGTTTTTCCCCTATTTCTGGATAGACCCAGGATCCCCGCAGCCATGTCTCTTGGGATGCTCAGCGAATGCCAGCTCCTTCCACAGCCAGTGTGAGGTGCGCGCTGTGGGGCCCCTCAGAGGGGCAGCTGGAGGTCTGAGGCCGCGAGCAGCCTTCCTCATCTAAATATCTAACTGCTTGGGACAGTCAGCTTTTCTTTCTTCCCAGTCCTAGGTTCCATTCCTTAGAGAACCAGTGGTGATCAGCCAGTCAGTTTGCTGGTATTGAGGCGACAGGACAGAAATTTTTCCTGCCCTTTGGGATACCTTAGGATGGTGAAGGGAGAAAAACTGCCTCAAGAGATCAAGGAAAGCCCACCCCGGGGAGGTGGTGCAAGAACCCGAAAAGAACGCACTTTGGGCACTCCAGGGCAGGTCTCTCGGCAGGGTGAACATGGAGCATTTCAGTGGTATCCCCCTTTTTCTTGGGGGTTGTTATTTTCCATATCCTTCACGTACACTTGTGCTTTATTGCTATGATATAAATTATTTATATGCATCCATCTCTCATCCATTAAAATGCTGAGTTGGGGTGATTTGGCTGGATTCTTCAAACAGTGTCCTCCCAGACCCCCTTCTTAAAGTGAGTGAGTAGCCTTGGCTGGGAATCAGAGGTCCAGGGTCAATTGCAAACTTATAATGTGAAGTCATTGATTCTTTTTGGGTGTTTCAGACTGCCCATACCCCCCACTGGGACTTATTTATATTCTGGGAGCTTTCTAAAAATATTAAATATGAATCCATATATAAAACAATTACATAGTCAATAGAAACATCAAAAGAGAACAGCTGTGGGGCACTGTGGTGCATGCCTGTAATTCCAGTGATTCAGGAGGCTGAGGCAGGATGATTGAAAGTTCAAGGCCAGCCTCAGCAACCTAGCAAGACCCTGTCTCAAATTAAAAAAAAAATAAAAAGGGCCAGGGATGTGTCTCAGTGGTAGAGTATCCCTGGGTTCAGTCTCCAGTTAACCCCCCACCCCAATCACCACCAAAAAGGGAACATCTGTGTAATTGCAGCCATACTGAGACTTAGAAAATGCCTTCACACCACATGCCCACCTGGAATGACTCCTAAAGGCTGCATCATCTCATCTCTCTCTAGATGGAGCCAGTCTTTTAAATTCTTAGATAATCTCCTTGTTTATCTTGCCGGTTTTATAACCTGTGTTTGCATTTCTTTTTCAGTATCTTATTTTTGCATATTTTATGCAAATTATAATATCCTCTTTATAATAGTATGTGTCAGGTTTCTTTTTTTGCACAGTTAGGTTTTTCATGGGATGATAGCTTAGTTTATTTATTAGACTTTATTTTTCAGGGCTTTTTAAAATTTACAGAAAAATTGAGCAGATAAGACTTTCTTCATAGCTAGTTATTTCCCCTGCTTCATTTTTAATTTTTTAAGTTGTTACATTAATGGTTTTTTAATACTTATTTTTTTAGTTATAGTTGTTCACAATACCTTTGTTTTATTTATTTATTTTTACATGGTACTGAGGATTGAACCCAGGGCCTCGCTTGCTAGGTGAGCACTCTACCACTGAGCCACAACCCCAGCCCCTGTATTGGTTTTTTAGTGGTCATTTTAATATTAATTAAATATTTTTAGTGGTCATTTTAATATTTTTTAGTGATTATGTAGTGCTGAGGCTCAAACCCAGTGCTTTACACATGCTAGGCAAGAGCTCTACCACTGAGCCACAACCCTGGTCCCAGTTTCCCCTGTTTTTAACATCTTGTATATGTATAGTGTATTTGTTATGAATTAATATGTTTGATGATGTTGAGAATTAACATCATCATTATTCACTCAAATCCATACTTTACATTAGGATTGACTCCTTGCTTTGTTTCGTTTTATTAGTTTTGACAATGTATGTGTCATGTATCCACCATCAGTACCATATAACTTAACTGTCCTAAAAATGAATTCCCTGTGCTCCACCTATTTATCACCTTTCCCTTCCCTCCATTACCCCTCCTCCCTCCCCCAATAAATACCCTGGCAACCACTGATTGTGTGTGTGTGTGTGTGTGTGTGTGTGTGTGGTGTTGGGGATTGAACCCAGAGCCTTGTGTGTGCAAGGCAAGCATTCCTATCAACTGACCTATATTCCCAGCACCCCCTTCCCCGCTTTTTTTTTTAACGTCTCTATGGTTCTATACTTGGAATCTGCTGTTAGGCAAGTGTTTTAGATTGTCTTCTTTCAGTTAGCAATAAGCATTTAAGTCCCTCTGAGTTTGTAACTTGATACCTATCTTAAAAAAATGATTTTAGTTATAGATGGACACAATACCTTTATTCTATTTTTTTTTTTTTTTTTTTTTATGTGGTGCTGGGGATCAAAACTAGTGCCTCATGTGTGCTGGGCAAGCGTTCCACCACTGAGCCACAACCCCAGCCCAATACTTAGTTTTTCAATCACTGAATATTATTCTTCACATAGATGTACTACTGTTTATCCATTAACCTATTGAAAGGTATGTATTGGTTCCTTCTAGAATTACAAAGAAGGTTGCTATTAATGTTTGTGTGAAGAGGTGTGTGTGAACCTATGTTTTGGGTTCATTTGGGTAAGTAGCTAGGTGTGTGATTACTGAATAGTTAAACCATGTTTATCTCCGTAAGAGCATGCCACACTGTCTTCCAAAATAGCTGCATTATTTTCCATTCACACCAACAGTAAGAGTCAGTGCTGTATGTTTTGTCAGCACTTGTTGACAGTGTTTTGGATTTAGCACCTCACTAGGTATATGATAGTACATTATTGCTTTTGATTTGCACTTACCTAATAGCATATAATGTTGAGCACCCTTCATATACTTATTTGCTAAGTTGCTGAGGTTGGCCTTAAACTCTTGAACTAAAGTGATTCTTCTGCATTAGAACCCCAGTTAGCTGGGGCTGTGTCTCATCATTTTTTTGTTTGTTTGGTTGGTTTTTGAGACGGGGTCCCCCTTCTATGTTACCCTAGGCTGGTTTTGAATTCCTGGGCTCAAGTGATCCTTCCACTTCAGCTGGGACTGCAGGCATTTACCACCTTATCCAGCTCTGGTTGCTTGTTTTCTATACCAGTCTTGTTTTGCAGACATTGTGTCCTAGCCTGTGGTTTTTCTTTTGACAGTGCCTCTGGCAACACAGAAAATTTTACTTAATGGGGTCCAATTTAAGAATTTACTCATTCATGGTTAATGCTTTTGGTGTCCTCTCTGAAATCTCGTTCTCAAATCCATGGTCATCTACAGTTTCCTCTATTTTGTGTCCTATTGGAATTCTCATGTTTGCATTTTACATTTAGGCTTCTGACCCATTTTCAGTTAATCTCGATGAAGTCGTAAGGTCTGTGTCTAATCCATTTTTATGGATATGGTATCCCAGGTTTTCCACATCATTTTTGAAATCAGCCTCAGTTTTTTACCATCTCCATTGAACTGTTTTGGCCTCTTTGGCATGTATCAGTTGGCTGCATGTTGTGGTTTTATTTCTGGGCTCCCTTTCTGCCCTGGTCTGTCTGTCCTGTTGATCTGAAGGTCTCTTCTTTTACAAATACTATACCACTTGATTGCTGTTATGGTAATTTTTTTCTTTATTATTTTATTTACGTGGTGCTGAGGGTGGAACCCAGTGCCTTGTGTGTGCGCTCTACTACTGAGCCACAACCCCAGCCCCTTGGTGGTGATTTTGACATCGGTTGTCAATACAACTTTATTCTCAAGTATATTGTGTTGGTCATTTTGGATCTTTTACCTTTTCAAATGAACTTTGATTCTAAAGTTTAAAAGTGGTTCTAGTTTTCTATTGTTCCTCCCCAACCCTTCAACCCTTCTCTGTTGGGGACCAAATCCAGGCCTCACACATACTAGGCAAGTGTTCTCCCACTGAGCTCCCCCTTAGCCCTTGATTCTAGTTTTCTTAAAACTGACTCTAGTTTTGTTTTGTTTTCTTCATAACTTGCTAGAATAATCCTAATTGAGATAGTGTTGAATCTAGTCCAAAGTCGGGAAAACTGAGATCCTACCAATGTTGTGATTTCCTGTCAATGAACTTGGAATACCTCTTCATATATTTAGATCATGTGTATAGATCTTATTTAGAATTTCATGGAGATGGTCATCGGATTGATACATGTTGGCTGTGGTTTGGGTGTTTATATCTTTTGTGCAGTAGTATTGAGAAGGAACTTTTGGATTGAGGAAGTAGCTTGGCGGCAGAGAGGGTTTGCCCAACATGCACAATGGCCTGGATTCCATCCCTAGCACCAGGAAGTGGGAGGAAGAGGGAGAGAAAACTATCGACTTTTGTATGTTAATCTGATGTTGTACAACTTTGCTAAAATCTCTTATAATTTCTGGTAGTTTTATATTTATTTGTTCTTTGGATTTTGTGCCTAGACAGTGTTTAATCAGCCTTGCATACCCATAATGATTTATTTGATTCTGGTATATAATTCTTTTTGGGTGTTGTTAGATTCAGTTTGCTGGTATTTGTTGAGGATTTCTATCTCCATTTTTATGAGAGGTCGGCTCTGAGGTTTTCTTCTTTGGTCATGTCTCATCTGCTATTGCCATTTGGGTATGTTAGAGATTATCGAGAACTGATGTTATTTCTTAAGTGTTTGGCGGAATTCACCAGTGAGACCATCTAAGCCTTGTCTTTATCTTTTGAATAGTTCTTAGGTATTGATTGAATTTCTTAAATTCATGTAGTTTGGTTCATTTTGTTTATATATCTCTGTGCGCCTGAAGATTGTATCCTTCAAGAAGTTGGTCCATTATCCAAGTTTTCAATTTTTAGAAATGGAGTTATTCACAGTATTGCCCCACCTTTTCTTCCTTCCTTCCTTCCTTCCTTCCTTCCTTCCTTCCTTCCTTCCTTCGTTTCTTCCTTCCTTCTTTCCTTTTTTCCTTCCCTAGGGACACATTACATTCCCGGCCCTTTTTTAAAACTTTGAGACGGGTCTTGCTGTTGCTGAGGCTGGATTTGAACTTGCCATTCTCTTGCCTTAGCCTCCTGAGATGCTGGGATTACAGGCGTGCGCTACTACGCCCAGCCATAGGAAGACTTAGAAGTACTTTTAAAAGGTCAGGAAGACCTTTTATAGTCTTTTTAATGTCTGTGGGATTAATGGCAATGCTGTTTCTTTTTTTCTTTGTTAGCCTGGCTATGAGTTCATCAGTTTTATTGATTTTGGGGGGCGGGTACTGGGTCTTTGATCCGTTTTGATTTCACTTTTGTGCATGGTATAGTGGATGCCTAGTTTTCTCAGCACCCCATTTTTGAAAAGACTGTCCTTTTCCTATTGAATGATCTTGGTCCCTGTGTCAAAACCCATTTTACTGGCTATGTAAGGGTATCTTCTGGGCTTTCCTTTCCTTTGGTCCATACTCTGTTTTTATGCCACTGCACTGTTTTGATTTTCACATCTTTGAGTATTTGGGGTTATTTGTGCCAGTATTCATAAGGCACACTTCTCTGCATTTGTTTTTCTTATAAAGTCTTAGTCTTTATTATTGGGGCAGATTTTTTTAAAAAATGCTTTTATTAGTGCATTACAGTTATGCACAATAGTGGGTCCATTTTCACATCTCATACATGTGTGGAATTTAATTTTCTCCATTTCAGTCCCCAGTGCTTCCCTTCCTTCCTCCCTCCCACTTGTTCCCTTTCCTCTACTCTACTGGAAACTGGATAATTTATAAATAACAGAGATTGCTGGGCACAGTGGGGCTTACCTGTAATCCCAGCAGCTCAGGAGGCTGAGGCAGGGAGATCATGAGTTCAAAGCCAGCCTCAGCAAAAACACAAAATAGGGCTGGGGATGTAGCTCAGTGATTAAGTGCCCCTAAGTTCAACCCCTGATACCAAAAATATTAAATAAATAACAGAAATTTATTTTTGACAGTTCTGGAGGCTGGGAAGTCCAGGATCAGAAGCTAGTCAGTGAGGTGTTTATTGAAAGCCTTGTCTGTGCTCCCAAGGTGATACCTTGTTGCTGTGTCCTCATAGGGTGAAAGGCAGAAGGGCAAAGCACCTGCTGGGCTCTTTCCAGCCATCTCATAGGGGCTAATCCCTCCCTCAGGAAGCCACAGTCCTTGTGGTCCAATTGCTTGATAAAGGTCCCACTGATGTTTTGGGGTTTGTTTCACCATAAATTACAGAAGGGGACACAAACATTTGAATCATAGCACAGGGTTTTGATTACTGCCGCACAGTCTTTATTAGATGTAGAAAGTCTCAGATTATTTCTGTTTCTAGAAATTAGTCTACTTATTGGTGTAATCCAGTTTGTTACTGTACCCCAGGAGACTTTGCATATAGGCTGTGAGGTGTGCATTTCTTTCATTTGTGTTCTGCTGCTGTACAGGAGCTTGTTGCTGTGGTGGGATGGTGTGGGGGGAGCAGCGCATTCCACAGACCTAGGATTTGGCCTCATTTTTTAGGGAGCCTGTGTTCCTGGGTTGTGACTTTCTTAAGTACTTCTAGGTCTTCCACTCGCCTTTGTTGCTGCAGGAAAGTTAGAGGGAATTGGGTACCTCCCTTTTCCCAGAAGTTTGGCCCTGGTTACATCTCTGCTAGGCTTTTGGGACATACATTCAGCCCTCAATGTCTGTGAGTTCTGTGCCTGCAGATTAAAACAAGGAAGGGGGCTGGGGATGTGGCTCAAGCGGTAGCGCGCTCGCCTGGCATGCGTGCGGCCCGGGTTCGATCCTCAGCACCACATACAAACAAAGATGTTGTGTCCGCCGAACACTAAGAAATAAAATGTTAAAAATTCTCTCTCTCTCTCTCTCTCTCCTCTCTCACTCTCTCTTAAAAAAAAAAAAAAAAAAAAAAAAAAAAAAAAAAAAAAAAAAAAAAAAAAAAAAAAAAAAAAAAAAAAAAACAAGGAAGGGTGGAAAACCTGTCTGTACTGATTATGTTTGTTTGTCGTTGTTTTCTGAACATCCTGGTAGGTTTTCTGGAGGTCAACTACAGTAGAACAGCTATTTAACTAATGTACATCGTAGTCAGTATGCAAATCATCTGGAGATCATTTAAAGCCTATTAAAGGCTTTAAAGGCAAGCACTATGCCATTTCATATAAGGGATATTTTAGCACGGGGGGCAGTGGTCCTGGAAGTGATCCACAGTGGATACTGAGGGATGGCTATAGTTTTCCTCTGTTTCTTTGTTTTTGCTGTGTGCTCTGCTATTGAGCTATATTCCCAGCCCTATAGTTTCTCTTGAAGAAAGGGCTGAGGAAAACAGATGCAATTCCTTGGGCATTTCAGAATGGCTACGTTTCCCTCCCCTATGAAAGCAAGCAGTGATTTTTCCCTGATCTTCACTGGGGACACCTGGTAGGGTTTCTGGAGGTAAAAATAAATGGGAAAGTCCATTCCAAGATTGGTCCCTATCATTATCATTATTATTTTATTTTTATTTATTCATTTTTACCTCTGAAGCTTGTCCTCCTCAGCTTTTAGTAGTACACCAGTGATGGTTTAGTTTTCCCTACTCTGGTAACCGCTCTTCACACAGGCTTCTGCTCTAGTAAGTTGCACTTTATGGGCTTTTGTCTTTGTCTCTCCATTTGGGGCATCAGTTTTCCTGTAAACACATTTCTCTGATGGATGTCAGAAGAGTTGCTAATTTTTAGTTCATGTGCTTTCTCATTCTCTGGAGGTGAGTGTTGCCTTCTATGTCCTTACAAGCCACAGTGGAACTGAGAATTACCTGACTTCACTTTTTGATATTAGTTGGCACTTTTTTTTTTTTTGTGGTGCCTTGGGTGGAGCCCAGGATCTTGGGTTTGCTCAGCACGCATTCTGCCACCCAGCCACACCACCAGACCCACTGACAACTTGTAAACCTCAGACTTCCTCCACCCCCTGTGCCTACATCTGGATAAGGTAGTGTTCCTATTCTGCTGTTGCCCTGTGGATAATTCATTTGTCATCTCAGTTGCTACGAGGAAGGATATGAATGTCGGCAGAGAGCAAGAGTCTGATGACCAAGTTATAGAATAAATGTTTGGGGACCAGAATCGTGAACTTATGAATCCTCCTTTACATACATGTGGGATGTTTTAGGACCCAGTGACCTTTGAGGATGTGGCTGTGAACTTCACTCAGGAGGAGTGGGCTTTGTTGGATCTTTCCCAGAAGAATCTCTACAGAGATGTGATGAGGGAAACCCTCAGGAACCTGGCCTTTGTAGGTAAGTGTAAAAACATTCCTGCCCTTAGTCAATGAACAAGTGTTTCTTTATCATCAGTGCTGTTCAGTGGTTTAGAATATGGAAAGGGAATGCTTTGGCGAATAAAATAAATCAGCAGAGTTTCATTGTGCCATAAATTTTCTAAATTTTTATTCATAATGATTTTCTGGATCTACATTTTAGGAATAAAATGGAAAGACCAACATATTGAAGACCAATGCAAAAATTCAAGTTTTTCTAAATACTTGAAAGAATTCATACTGAAGAACAACCGTACAAATGAGAGAAACCTAAGGTACTTTGTGCTCATAAGGGAAAGCAGTGTCCCTAGAGAGAATTTATAGCATGTTTTAAAATTTTGTTTTTAGTTTTTATTAAAACTTTGTTGTTGAGACAGGGTGTCACCAGGTTACCCAGGCTGTTTTTGAACTTGTGGGTTCAGGCAATCTTCCTGCTTCAACCTCCAGAGTAGCTGGGATTATAGGCATAAACCAGTATGCCCAGGCTCATGAAAATATAAAAACAAAGAAACAGAACATATAAACCCATTTAAAGTTTTTTTATCCTTCAAAAATTTTGTTCAAAATCCACATACTTATATATTACATAGCTCATAGTTCACTACATTTCACCGTGTATTAAAAATTCCCATCTGTGAATATTACTGTTTTGATAATAGCTATGATCAAGCCCCCTTGCAGAGCTTTCCGTCCCCCACCACCACCACCAGGGATTGAACAATCCAGGAGCACTCAGCCACTGAGCTGCATCCCCAGCCCTTTTTTACATTTTATTTAGAGACAGGTCTCACTGAGTTGCATAGGGCCTCACTAGCTTGCTGAAGCTGGCTTTGAACTCACAATCTGTCTGCCGCAGCCTCTCAAGCTGCTGGGATTTCAGGTGTGCGCCACCATGCCCAGGCCTTGCAGAGCATTTGATCAATTCATGCTCAAGCAATTTTGAGAGTGAATAAAACCCTTATTTCCCAATAATAGACAAGTGTAATTCGTATTAATAAATATAAAATTATAAGAAACAGTCAATACTGCTTTTCCTTTTTTACAGAAGTCATCTGGTAGAGAGACTCTGTGAAAGTGAAGAAGGCAGTCAGAATGAAGAAACCATCAGCCAGATTCTAGATCTTAATCTGACTGAGAAAACAAGTGGAGTTGAACCCTGTGATAGCACCACATGTGGAGAGGAGTCCATGAGTCATTCGTCTCTTAGTAAGCACCCAAGAGCTCACACCGGACAAAAAACCCATGACCATCACGGTGGAAAGGAGACACATCAAGATAAGCAGTGCGCAAAAGCCAACGGTTATCATCACATTGGAGAGAAACGTTATGAATGTCAGGAATGTGGAAAAGTCTTCATTTCTCTTGCAAGCTTTCAAAGACACAGGATAACACACACTGAAGCGGAACCTCATAAATGTAAATGTAAAGTATGTGGGAAAGCCTTTTATTCTACTAATTTATGTCAAATACATGAAAAAACTCACCCTGAAAAGAAACCTTATCAATGTAAGCAATGTGGTAAAGGGCTAAGTACTGCCAAGTCCTTCCAAATACATAAGAGGATTCACACTGGAGAGAAACCCTATGAATGTAAGGAATGTGGGAAAGCCTTCAGATGTCCCAGTGATTTTCGAAGACATAAAAGAACACACACTGGAGAGAAGCCCTTTGAGTGTAAACAGTGTGGTAAAGCTTTTGCTCGTTCTAGTTCTGTTCGAATACATGAAAAAACTCACACCAGAACAAACACAGGCTGTGAATGTAAGGAATGTGGGAAAACCTTTGTTTCTCTCTCAACCTTTCAGAGGCATATGATAAGGCATACCGGAGATGGGCCTTATAAATGTAAGGACTGTGGAAAAGCTTTCATTAGTCTTGTTTCATTTCAAATACATGAAAAACTACACACTGGAGAGAAAGTCTATCAGTGTAAACAATGTGGGAAAACCTTAAGCAATCCCAGTTCCTTTCGCATCCATGAAAGAACTCACACTGGAGAGAGACCCTATGAATGTAAGGAGTGTGGGAAATCCTTTAATTGTCCAAGTTCCTTTCAGAGACATGAAAAAACTCACACTGGAGAGAAACCCTTTGAGTGTAAAAAGTGTGGGAAAGCCTTCAGTCGTTCCTGTTACCTGCAGATGCATGAACGGATTCACACAGGAGAGAAGCCCTATGAATGTAAACAATGTGGCAAAGCATTTAGCAGTTCCAGTTCCTTTGGAATACATAAAAGAACTCACACTGGAGAGAAACCCTATCAATGTAAAGAATGTGGGAAAGCCTTCAGTTGCCACAGCTCTTTTCAAAGACATCAAAGGATTCACACTGGAGAAAAACCCTATGAATGTACAAAGTGTGGTAAAGCCTTCAGCCGCTCCAGTGTCTTTCAAATACATGCAAGAACTCACACCAAAGAGAAACCCTACGAATGTCAAGAATGTGGGAAAGTCTTTGGTTGTTCTAGTTCCTTTCAAATACATAGAAGAACGCACACTGGAGAGAAACCCTATGTATGTCAAGAATGTGGTAAAGCATTTAGTTGTTCTAGCACCTTTCAAAAACACAAAAGGACACACACTGGAGAAAGACCCTATGAGTGTCTAAAATGTGGTAAAGCCTTCAGTCGCTCTAGTACCCTGCAGATACATAATAGAATTCATGAAAGAACTCTTAATGAAGGAAAAACTGCCCAAATACCGTGAGTATGGGAAAGCCTTCATTTGTCACAATCCCTTTCAAAACAGGAAAGAAGGCATACTGGAGAGAAACCCTGTGTAAGGAATGTGGGAAAGCTTTGGCTGAGTGGGAAAGCACATTGAGAACACCCACTGGTGAGCAACTCTAATAGGCTGAAGGTTCAGGTGCCTTTTGTTGTCCCACTTCACTTCAAAGCCATGAGAGAATGCGTGGAGGAGAGATGAAGCAGTGGAACAGCAGCAGTGGGCAAAGCCCTCGGTTGGCTCATCTTAAGGGACATGTAAAACACACACTGGGGCTTGAGTGGAGCTTGGCATGTTAGAGCTGCTGACCAGCCCCATGACCCCTGGTCAGTACCCAGGCAAAGGTGGAGAGAAATAATGAACACTGCATTGAAAACTTGAAGTGTGAAAAACAAGAAGAATGTTTTCAATTTTGACAGTTACTTTGAAAGCCTTATAAAAGCTTCCAATTTAGAGAAAACATACATATTGAAATAATATGCAAAGCCTGATGCAAATTAATACACATATAATGCTCCAGAAAAATACACATCCTGAAGGAAATGTTATTAAAGGTGTAAATTGATTTTCTCACCTGCCTTCCTCTTTTTTTTTTTCCTTTTGTTTAATACATAAATGGGGGCTGAACCCAGGAGTGCGCTACCACTGAGCTGCATTCCCAACCCTTTTTAAGATTTTAAGACAGGGTCTTGCTAAGTTACCAAGGCTGATCTTGAATCTGTGGTCCTCCTGCCTCAGCCTCCTGAATTGCTGGGATTAATAGGCATGGGCCACTGCTCCCAGCTTAAATTGATTTTCTTTATTAATAGCTCATTCTTTTTTTTGGGAGAAGGGTACTGGGGATTGAACTTGGGGGACCTCAACCACTGAGCCACATTCCCAGTCCTATTTTGTATTTTATTTAGAGACGGGGTCTCACTGAGTTGCTTAGTGCCTCACCATTGCTGAGGCTGGCTTTGAACTCACAGTCCTCCTGCTTTAGCCTCCCAAACTGCTGGGATTATAGGTGTGCACTACTGGACCCAGCTGATAGCTCATTTTTAATATAGATCTCTAGACTTTGAATTTTTACTAATTTCCACAAAGAATCATTGACTTGATAATTTTCATAAGTACTTTTAAAGCAACAGTAAAAGAGTTTAATAGGTAGTATTTTTAAGTTACTTAATAAAATTTTTATCTATTTTTAATTGTGGGGTTCATGGGTAAATTGAAATGTTTCTAATATACAGAGAAGTTTGATTTTTACTTTTTAAATTTTGTGTTTAGTAGGTCACTTAAAACAATTGTTAACTGTTGGAATTTCTTACTGGTCATGTGGCGGGTTATAGCTCTGTCTCCTCCATCTCTATATTCTACCATTTCTTATGGGAGAAACTGCTTTGTAAAAAACATGCATAGAATTTTATTTTATTTTCTTGGGTAATAAGGAGTTGCCATCAATTTTTAAGTATGTAAAGTTTTTATCATAATCTCATGTTGATTCTTATTTTCATCTTTTGCCTTTTACTGTTTGTTGTTATTTCTGGCTGTTATTTGGATAGTTCACTTTGAGTGACAGAGACCTGTGATTGAACAATAAAAGTGTGGGAAAGCCATCAGTCCTTCCTGTTACCTGCAAATGCATGAAAGGACTCACACAGGAGAGAAGCCCTATGAATGTAAACAATGTGGCAAAGCATTTAGTAGTGCCAGTGTTGGACTGTGATATGACTTTGCTGGTAATGGTGGGAAGCAGACTTCCCAGAATCTAGTCCCCTTATGGTGCCTTGTTAGAAGTTGGCAGTAGTCTAAACTTGGATGAGAACTGGAAAGAAGTGAAGAGGCATTTATCAGATTTTTGAAGTCACACATATTTTTGCCTAGTGTGTGAGGCTCTGGGTTCGATCCTCAGCGCCACTTATAAAGGTATTGTGTCATCTACAACTGAAAAAAAAAGAGTTGGATTCCCTGTTCTGAGATGTGAAGTTTCTTGTAAATTTTTGTACCAGTTCCACATGAGATATCTCAGTTGGAATTTTCCCCCAAACCCTAATGTGCTGTCTGGCAGCCAGTTTAGACAGTCATTCTTGGAAATACTCTGACTCCCCTCTACGGGTTGAATTGATATAAGGTCTGATTTGTATAGTGAATGTCCGTTTTCAGTGCCAGTTACTGTGTTCCAGATTGCATGGCAGCTACAGTGATGCCAAAGAAATAACTAGATGAGGGGCTGGTGGTGTAGCTCAGTGGGAGGGCACTGCCCAGCATCCTGAGGCCTTGGGATCAAATCCCCAGCCACCAAAAGGAAAAAAAAAAAAAAAAGCTTGCTTTATTGCATTGTGCAGTGCTCTGTGGTAGAGCATTTGGCTACTTCCACCTGAGGAGCCTGGAGGGAGGTCTTCCTCTTCCTCACAGCTGAATATATCATTCTGTTCATTTTTAGTTACATTTTATTCTCTGTGATTAAAAATATTGAAAAATTTTTCCTCAAGGAGAATTTCTGTACATTTCTCTTAATAATGTTGAATATGTTCAAGCAACTTGTATGCTAACAAATGTTGTCTCTTTTATTTACTAAGATATATTAAAATATCCCATCGCCATTGTGGATCAGGTTGACTTTTAGTTTTGCCAAGCTATTCATTAAACTTTATGATGTGTTACCATGTATATACAGMTTCAGGCATTTTTTCTCACATGAATTTTACCTTTATTGCATATATTGTTGGAGTTGTATCATAATGTCAAATCATGGTTTTATAGGTGCTCTCTTAACTGACAACTACAAGTATCACCCCTGTTTCAAGGAGGAGTGTAACACAGTGTGGCATGATCATAGCCAAGGGGACCATGTGTTTTTTGTTTTTTTCTTTTTTAAGTAAGGGTGCTCAAAATTTCTTATAGGATTTGTACTTGTGTTATAAGGCATTTCTTTGGGATGTTTTGAGGAAGTAAAATCTTGTCCTTGATAACTCACTTTTGGTGGTTGGGTGTTTCTTGGTTTTGCTTTTTTGTAGCTCTCGCCATCAAGCCCAGATTTCACATATTGGACAAGCGATGTGCCCTGAGCCTCAGCCCATGATAAATTCTTTAAATTTTAGTTCATTTCTGTTTTATTGATTTTAAATTACGATTTGGATCCTGAATGTCCCCCCCAGGCTCATGTGCTGCAGGTGGGCTGCCCGGGAAGTGGTGGTGAAGCCTTAGGGAAGTGGGGAGTCATGGGAGGCCCTTGAAGGGTTATTGGGACCCTGGCTCCTCTTTGCATCCTGACCGCATGAGGTGATGGTGTCCCCCACCATGATGTGCTGCTTCACCACAGGCTCAAAGTGACAAAACCAAGATCATGGTGTAAACCTTTTCTCTTATTTGGAGGTTGACCAGTACCCTTCACGTGCCAGGCTGAGAGTAGTAAATTAAGGAAAAACCCAGCCTTCCTGGAACTCAGCAGTTGAGGAAGGAGGTAGCTAGTGAATGAACAAGAATATAATAGGTTTCCAAAAATTAGGGGTTTTTTTTTTTTTTTTTTTTTTTTTGGCAGTACTGGGGATGGAACCGGGGCTTCAAGCATGCCAGTGCTACATCCCCAGCCCCCTAAAATGAGACTGGAGGGAAAAAATAAAGGCCAGGCATTATGGAGCACACCCCATAATCCCAGTCCCAGCTACTTCAGAGCCAGCCTGGGTCTTAAGTGAGACCCTGTTTCAAAATTAAAAAGGCTAAGAATGTAGCTCAGTGGTAGAGCATTTGCCTAACGCGTGAGACCCTGGGTTCAGTCTCCAAAAAAACAAACCCCAAAAGTAAAAGACAAAATGACATTATGGGCTGCGGGTGCTCTGTGGTGGAGCACTTTCTAATATATGTCCCCAGATGTATTTCATATGGTGTCTATGTGCAGTGCTGGGGGTGAGCCCAAGCCTGGAGCATGATAGGCAAATGCTCTACCACTGAGCTCCACCCTTGGCCCGTGTGTGTGTGTGTGTGTGTGTGTGTATTTTGCTCCTAAGTGTCAGGTGAATGTTCTTTATTTGCTCGCTTGCTTCCCAGCTTCGCTGGTGTTTAACTGACAGCCAGTTTACTGCTCAGACTTAAACTGAGATGTCCTGACATACACTCTATCCTTGAAAACTTCCCCACAATGCAAATAGTGAATATATCCAAGAAAGTTCACCAACTGCTGTTTCCGTTCCTATGACTGTGGTTTTCAGACTTCATATAAGTAGAATCATGTAATATGCAACCTTTTTAATTGGGCTTCTTTCACTTCCTCGATGTGACGCAATTATAGTGTCTCCTTCAGGCCTGGACAGAGGCTTGACTTCCAAGTCCTCCCTGGTCCTTAGATGGCAGTAAGTACCTCAGATTCTTTCAGAATCAGGTCCTGGGTCCCTCACCCAACCTTGGACACAGTCCCCAGATCCACAGACGGCTTCCTGGGGCTTTGACACCCGAGAGTCCCCACCTTCCAGCCCCGGTTCGTGTCTGAGGGCTGCCGGGACCTGGCCCTACTCCTGAGCTGAGACTCCGCGCGCATTCCCAGGCTCGCCCTACACGTCTGGAACTCATCCCCAGCCACTCCCTTCCCACCTTCACTGTTCGTCCAGTGGAGTCTGGAGGTGCAGCCTGAAGCCGCCATGGGGAAGGCAAGCGGGGCTTGCGGCTGGTGGCCCCCGCCGAGCCGGGTTGTCCTCTCTCGCCTCCCGTTTCCTTTTCACCTTTTCACTGTCCAGTTCAGTGTCATGGGCGTTCTCTGACGGCCGCACCTTCTCCCCACAACAAACTAGTTCTGCCAGCGCAGCAGCAGCGTCTGCAGGCCCAGCCGGCCAGCGTGGGAATGCGGTGCCACTGGGACGGGGGTCCTGAGGCCACCAGGAGAGGGCAGGGCGGGGCGGGCGAGGCAGGGAATGGGCTTGGAACCTGACAATGCGGGGTGGGGCCAAAGCCAGAGGGTGGGGCTTAGTGGGGGCTTAGTGGGGGGCTGAGCCCAGAAGGGAGGGAGGTCAAGGGCACCGCTGAGCAGGGACTGGCCTGCAGAGCCGGGCAGTGAAGGGAGAGGGTACAGTGGAGCCCGGAGGAGTGCTGAGCTGTTGGAGAGGCCGTGGGGGACTTTGGAGAGGGGGACATGAGGGGACCCAAGGCAGTGCTAAACCGGAGGAATGGGCCTTGGTGGAGGGGGGCTCGCTCGCCACCCCAGCACCGCCAGACCTTGAGAGTCTGAAACTTACCCAGATAATCGAGTGCCGCAGCTCTCGGATGCTCCTGGAGGAAGACTGGGAGCGGAGGTGGCCGGGAGAGGGCGGTCTGGTGGCTGGAGATCGGTGCGGGGTTGAAGGGGGCTTTAGTCCTCAGGTGCCGGAGGTAAAGGTCCTGCAGGGGAACCCGGAAGGACTAGGAGACAGCTCCAGGGAAGGATAAGGGCCCAGCCTGAGAGTTTGGCCTGGGCTCCTGTCCTGGGAATGCCCTGAGCCAGAGGCAGGACCCTACAGGGAAAGGAGTCTCCGCTTGCAGGGTCGGTCCAAGGCTCTCCATCTTGTGGGAGCCCCTGGTGGGCGAGGGCCAGTGGGGCTATCAGGGCGGGACCCGCTGGGTCTGCCTGGGAGAAATG